GACGAAGCGGTGCGATGAAGCTTCAGATCATCCGCATACATGAAAGGCGCACAATGTAATTGTGGCAGCAAGTCGTTTACATAGACGAGGAACAAAAGACAAGACAAAGAAGACCCCTGAGGAACGCCCTGTCCCACAGGTAGGTAATTAGAAAAGACATGGTTCACCTTGGTGCGGACACGCCTGTCGGTGAGGAAATCCCGAAGCCAGAAATAAATTCGACCAGTGACCCCCATCCGCTGAAGTTTCAGCAACAAAAGAGAGGGATTAACCCGGTCATAGGCCTTTTCACAGTCAAAAAAGACAGCACCGGTGGCACACTTCTGGATGAAGCCCTCCCGGATGTCCTGGAGAAGTCTTACGACCAAGTCCATCGCCCTGTGACCGGGGGGAAACCCAAACTGGTGTGGGTGCACAAGGTCACGCGTCTCGAAGAAGTAAGACAGTCTGGCATATATCATTCGTTCGACCACCTTGCCAAGACAAGAAGTTAAAGAAATAGGTCTGAAAGATCGTAGGTTCGAGGGATCCTGGCCTTTCTTTAACAAAAGGTGGAGCGTCGCCCGTTTCCAGATTTTGGGAACACGTCCAGCCTCGAGCGTACGATTGGCCAGGTCCAAGAATGACCTCAAGGCGACAGGAGAAAAGTTACGTACCATCTCATAAGTAACAAGGTCCTCCCCGGGCGATTTCCCGAGACGGACCTTGGAGACAGCAGCTTGTAACTCAGAAAGCTGAAAAGGGGTTGAGAAGGTGGCCTCACGAGACACTCTCTCATGATGGAGAGTGACATGAATCGGGAGTCGCTCCGACCTCCCAAGAGATTCATAAAACCTGTTGAGTGCCTGGGCACGGCCGAACTCAGAAAAGATCTTACCAGATTCTGTCTCCAAGGGTGTGTTCAGTTGCTTGGCGGGCCCCGTCCCGCCGAGCCGACGAAGAGTAGAGTAGAGCCGTTTCGAGTCCCTGAGTCCGAGTCTAGATAGGTCCTCCCGAGTACGAGTCCGAAATATAGCTCGCAAGGTCTGGCGAAGCTCACGTCGTAACGAATGATAGTCCTGTAGATTCTTAGGTGTAGGTCAGCGGGTGGCCCTCTTCCGGGCTTGATTCTTGCGGCGACGAAGCCGTTCCAAACGTTGATCCCAGTTGCGCCTCTTACACAGTCCAGAACGAGGTATAGCTTTACGGGCAGAAAACATAATATGAGTGAGGAAGGAAGCATAGGCATCGTCAATGTTCCCGTGGGTAGCGTCATACGTGTCCAGTCTCTCGTCCAAGAGAGTCCTGAACTTGTCCCAATTGGCTTTACGATAAAGGAAACGAGGCAGAACAGCTGGAACATGACGAAAGGCAAGGTCAAGCGTAGTCAGCACTGGAAGGTGGTCCGACCCGATATCGGCCAGCACACGAGTGGTAGAATTAATGAACAGGCGAGGGGTCATAAAAGTCAAATCTGGCCGAGAAGATTCACCGTTACCCTTCCTAAGGAAGGTAGGGGGAGTATCTGGAGACTGAGGGTGGCGCAGGCCGAACTTGTCGATATATCCCTCCACAGCACGACCAACAGCATCCGCTTTAGGGTACCCCCAGCGTTGGGAGCAAGCATTAAAATCACCTGATAGAAGAACGTTCTTGCCAGTTATGCGAGGCAAGGTCACCTTGCCACGACATGGCTGGTAAACACAGTAGATAGAAATCAGGTCCCCTCCGGTTTTAGTCCGAATACCGAGAATGTACGTCGTTGTTCGGGTACAGGGTACCACTTCGACACAGAGAGTTTCCTTGGTAAGTATGGCAACACCGCGACACGGGGTGTCACACGTACACTGTAGTAAGGAGTAACCGGGCACCGTAAAGGTGCTGTCCCTCTCAAGTCTAGTCTCTTGAAGAAGGGCCACATCAACATTCTCCGTAACGAGCAGGTTCTCCAATTCGGTCGAACGAGACCGAAGACCGAGAATGTTGCACTGTAAAATGCGTAACTCGGCCATAACAATAAGATAGGGAGGGAAACCTGCAAAGAAATTACGAAGTCAGGTTAAAGCTCGAATTGACCAGGCTACGTAAAACACGGGACAACGAAATACAGGTATATCAAACTAAGAGGGAAGGAATGTTAGACTTACGTTTAGTAGATAGAACACAGAAATAAATCCGAAGCTAATAAACCGAACTGATAGCAAGCACACACAGATACAACTAAAAGACAGAAACTCAAACACCCATACATATATAGGCAGGAAGGTAAGAAACCAGTGTGAAAACCAAGGTGGTAGCACGTGCCGACCAATTCACGCCAGGTCGAACACATGGAGGAATGCACGCAGGCCAAGATGGTCGCACAGGGCGACCGGCCAAGCACAAAAGAGCCCAGCCCTCAGAGCAATAATAGGCAAATCATGGTGTCTAGTGTCCGCACATGAGTCACAAATGACTAAGGTGGTAGCATGCCACGAGAAAACGAGGCAAAGGCAATCAAAGAAAGTCAACTACGTCATAAGAAAACGGGAAAACGTCATACATGCGAAGTGAGGAGCTCGATTATCAAACGGTCATTATATGTGGACTGACCATCCTCAAATAAGACTTCGTCGGAACAAGAAAAAAAAAATCCGCATCTCTAGTCAAAGAATGAAAAGTTAAGACTTGCGGTCCACTCATTAGCGGTCTATTGGAAAATGAGATGGCTTCCCCAGCCGGCGGTATGGTGCAGGGTGGTGAAAACCACCTACATCAGGGGTCCACGGAACCCCCCACGGGGGGTTAATACGTGATACGCCGGACCCGTTTGAAAATGACAAGTCCCGGAGCATAGACTGTATAATTAAAGCTCGTCTCTCCCACGGGAGGGAACTCTGCCACATGACCGGAAGGTTTGGTAGTAACGGGACACCTCCCGTGCGAGTGGGAGTACTGATTGCCAGTTATGGGGTCAAACCCATAAGGACGCAATAAGAGACCCCAATCAGGTCGCAAAGCTTCAACGCTTTCGTCCCTTCGCACGGGTAAACGCGGCGGTAGTAGATTCACAGGAATCGACTTCCTGCATAAAGAGAGTATCAGGAAATGAACGTCCGTAATCAAGTCCGAGGTAGATCTATGGGAAGGATTGGCCAAAGCTCACAGTGAGGACATGGAGTCAGTATGTAGGTAGACAGAAGTGTAAGGGTGGACAGAAGTATAAGGGTGGACAGAAGTATAAGGGTGGACAGAAGTATAAGGGTGGACAGAAGTATAAGGGTGGACAGAAGTGTAAGGGTGGACAGCACAGAACTGTATTGCACGCTGGAGGGCAAGCTGAATGGCGGTTAACTCGGCGGTAAAAATACTGCCGTAGACAGGGCTACACAGCTCTGAACTGTCGAATCCGTCAAAATAAATGCCATATCCGCTGAGAGTAGAACGTGCAGGGGTTGATCCATCAGATACACAGAGCATCCACATGGTAAGAATCTAAAAGATGTAGGAAAGCAGCTAACTGGTCCTCCTTTGTGCGAGGAGATCCAGGTAAATTAAGTCGAACGGCCGGCAAATCAGGTGAAATATATGGAGGATAAGCGGCATGCTGTTGGATCTGTTTCCTAGAAAAGGGCAACGGGGATGGGAACAGGCTAAGTAAATACTCTTCCTGCTCCACCCAGGTCCGCTTCTGTAAACGTCCCATAAGGTGTTCCGAGTACAGCTATCGGTCTACCATCTGCCGCATAGGATTGGTGGGTGGGAGCCGACGAAACCGCTCGTAACTGGAAACGATGGCGCGGCGAGTGGTTCGATTGAGGCCATAACCGAACAGACAAGGTCCGGTGTGTTACGGCCGAGCCCAGCCACATAACGTACCGCACGGTGATGCCGAGTATACACTTCTTTGAGAGCATCGCCTGATGCCAAGAGTAGGATAGGGGCAGAGTAGTCTAGCACTGACTTAACTGCAGTAAGGTAAACGAACCGGAGGACCTTAGATGAAGCACCAGAATCCAAAGAGGCAAGGCGGACCAGCCTACTCCCATAAGCCTGGTCAAATCGATGGCAAATTGCATTGATATGCTTCTTCATAAGGAGCTTCCGGTCTAAGGTTCACTTTGGTCCTAACACGTCTGTAAGTGAGGAAGTACCTAAGCCAGAAATAGACACGACCAGTGACCCCCAATCTCTGCAACTTTAACAGTAACAGGGAGGGATTGACTCGGTCGTAAGCCTTCTCGCAATAAAAGAAGACAGTGCCTGTACTCTGCTTCTGGATGAAGCCTTCCCGAATGTCCTGGAGAAGTTCTACGACCAAGTCCATCGCCCGGTTTCCGGGGCGAAATCCAAACTGGTGCGGGTGCAAGAGATCACGAGTCTCAAAGAAGTACGAAAGGCGTGCATACACCATTCGCTCGACCACCTTGCCAAGACAGGAAGTGAGGGAAATGGGACGAAAGGATTTCAAATTCGAGGGATCCTGACCTTTCTTAAGCAAGAGATGGATGGTCGCACGTTTCCAAAGCTTAGGAACACGCCCAACTTCGAGCGTCCGATTGGTCAGGTCCAAGAATAGTCGTAGAGCGACTGTAGGAGATTGGTAAGCGACGAAATGGTTCGAGAAGCTGATCCAATAAGAACTCCGCCTGTTCGACCCAAGTCCTACGGTGAAGCCGTTGAAGGAAATGTCCCTGAGCGCGCCACCTGTCCACCATGTCCCTCATCGGATCTCCTACTGGCAGTCGACGAAAAGTTTGCCGCTAATCGGTGAGAGGGGCGGGCCGAGCTCGGAACGCGGTTGCAACCTTCCCGTGGACTGCCCCAGCTATGCGTCCGGGCTTCGCGGCTCGGTGCGCGTCGGCTGGCATTCAACAGTCAACCAGATATATATATATTAAACAATAGTCCCACACAGGCGTACAGTAACACATACGTAGTCTCAGACATGCTTTATGAGAAACAACATGAGAAGTGGTACAGAGCAAAATCTTTTAATAAACCATTAAAACATACATATGCAATACAAGGCACAAATACATCTAACAAGGTAGAGGGTCCTCCTCTCCAGAAGTCACTGGATCAGTAGCATCCTTATAGTCATTAAAAGCCCAACCCCTCCGGGTATAAGCCCGTTGGGGAGTAATGTAAGTGTCCCTATCTTGAGCCCGACCTGTCAACACAACAGGGGCAGAGTCCGTCTGTGAAGTGTTACCCTTCGGATGAACATTGAAAGTCATGGCGCGCTCTTGGGCGGCCCGCTGCTGAAGGAGTTTCGAGGCATGTCGTAGGTAGTGGGCCAGCCTTGCCATGAGTCTCGAGTTCTTCCAGAGATCAGATACCTTGAAACCAGATGTGCCGGCAAGGCGAGTTCGTAATGTCTGTAGGGAAGGACAGGCAAGAATATGGTCGATAGTTTCCAAATCAAATGAACACAGCCGGCAAGCTATAGAGCACTTCCCGTCAGGAGCGTTGATGGAGTAGCATAAGAGGGCACAAAGACCGAGCGCGAGCAACGGCAGTTTGTTGATGGCGAGTGAGCTGCCACCAGGGGTCGCTATTATGAAAGACCCTGGTCTGATAAGAGTACAGGACGCGATGAGTCGGCAGGTCAGCCACCGCGACTGCCATTGATCGCGCAAGGCCTGGTGAATCATGAGACGTGCAGTGTCGTATGAGGAAGGAGGGCATGGTGGGGCACCCTCCTTCCCGTGAAGGGCGGCACCCTGGCCAGCTAGGCGGTAAGCAACCTCATTACCCCGAATTCCAATATGGGAGGGAACCCACTGTAGGTACACTGGCACAGACTTCCTGCATAGGGACAAAGCTAGAAACCGCACATCAGTCACTAAATCAGATGAAGACTTGTGCAGGGGGTTGGCAAGGGCACGAAGTGACGACAAAGAATCTGTATGTAAGTACACAGAGCTGTATGGGTGAACAGCACACAAATGCACGGCCTGTTGAAGAGCGAGGTAAATGGCAGTAAGCTCAGCGGTAAATATGCTACCGTATACAGGACCGTACAGCTCAGAGTCCGTGAATCCGTCAAAATACACTCCATATCCACTCAATGTGGATCTTGCTGGAGTCGAACCGTCCGTGTAAATGCATAACGCATCGACCGTGTAGGAATCTATCAGGTGTAGAAATGATGCCAACTTCTCCTCCTTTGTGGAAGGTGAACCCGGTAACTCCATCCGGATGGCAGGAAGGTCGGGAGGAATGTACGGTGGATAAGCGGCATGCTGACAGATTTGTCTCCGGGAAAAGGGCAAGGGCGAGGGGAACAGACTGAGCAAATACTCAGCCTGCTCGACCCAGGTACGTTTAAGCAGCCGCCCCATCAGGTGCTCCGACTCCCGCCACCTGTCAACCATCTGACGCATGGGGTCCACTGGGGGGAGGCGTCGGTAGCGTTCATAAGAAGTTACCATGGCCCGGCGGAATGACAAATCCAGGGGTTCCACCGAAGCCATGATAGAGCAGACAAGGTCAGGCGAGTTTCGGCCGAGCCCAGCCACATAACGTACGGCCCGGTGATGCCGAGTGTATACTTCTTTGAGAGCGTCACCCGATGCTATGAGCATGATGGGGGCAGAGTAGTCCAAGACCGATTTTACCGCTGTGAGGTAGACGGACCGGAGTACTTTTGCAGATGCACCGGAATCGAGAGTAGCAAGTCGAACCAGCTTACTCCCGTAAGCCTGATCAAAGCGGTGACAGACCGAATTGATGTGTTTCTTCATAAGTAACTTCCGGTCCAAAGTAACCCCGAGCAGAACCGGGTACATCTCATAAGACAGGGTGTCCGAGCCAAGTTTGAGAACCAGTCTATCCAAATGTCCGGTTAAAGACAGGGAGAACAGGCAGTAAACGGATTTAGAGGGATTCATCCGGAGCTGCCAGGTCTTACAATATTCCTGTATGGTGTCCAGGTCTACCTGTAATGACTGCTGAATCTCCAGAAGGGATGAAGCGGTGCGATGAAGCTTCAAATCATCCGCATACACGGAGGGGGCACAATGAAGTTGTGGCAGCAAGTCGTTTACATAGACGAGGAACAGAAGACAAGACAAAGAAGACCCCTGAGGAACGCCCTGTCCCACAGGTAGGTAATTGGAATAGACATGGTTCACCTTGGTGCGGACACGCCTGTCGGTGAGGAAATCCCTCAGCCAAAAGTAGACTCTGCCGGTAACACCCATCCGCTGAAGCTTCAGCAACAACAGTGAGGGATTCACCCGGTCATAGGCCTTTTCGCAGTCGAAAAAGACAGCACCAGTAACACGCTTCTGAATAAAGCCCTCTCTAATGTCCTGGAGGAGTTTAACGACCAAATCCATGGCCCTATGACCGGGACGAAAACCAAACTGGTAGGGGTGCAGAAGGTTCCGCGTCTCAAGGTAGTATGACAGCCTGGCATACACCATCCGTTCGACCACCTTACCGAGACAAGAAGTTAGGGAAATAGGCCGGAAAGAACGAAGGTTCTCGAGGGGTCCTGGCCCTTCTTCAACAAGAGGTGGAGCGTCGCTCGCTTCCAAATCTTTTTGGGACGCGTCCAGCCTCGAGTATCCGATTGGCCAGGTCCAAGAACAATCGCAAAGCAGAAAGAGGGAAACGCACCATCTCATAGGTAACAAGGTCTTCCCCGGGAGACTTCCCGAGGCGGACCTTGGAGACAGCGGCCTGTAACTCAGAGAGTTGAAAAGGAGTAGAAAATGTAGGAGTCTCGGGTAAGGTGGCCTCATTAGCCACCCTCTCATGATGAAGAGAGATGTGGATGGGGAGTCTTTCAGATCTCCCCAATGACTCATAAAATTTGTTAAGGGCTTGGGCACGGCCGAACTCAGAAAAGACCTTACCTGACTCTGTTGGTAGAGGAGCGTTCATTTGCTTGGCGGGCCCCGTCCCGCCGAGCCGGCACAGGGTCGAATAAAGCCGCTTCAAATCATGTAGTCCAAGCTTAGAAAGGTCCTCCCTATTACGAGTGCGCAGAATGGTCCGAAGAGTCTGGCGAAGCTCACGCCTCAGAGAGTGGTAATCTTGCAGGTTCTTAGGCATAGGTCTGCGGGTGGCCCTCTTCCTGGCTAAATTCTTTCGACGACGAAGTCGTTCCAACCGCTGGTTCCAGTCCCGACGTTTGCACAGGCCAGAGCGTGGGATGGCCTTGCGAGCAGAATACATGACATGAGAGAGAAATGAAGCGTAGGCATCGTCGATGGACCCGTGGGCAGAGTCATACGAGCCCAGTCTCTCTGCCAAGAGAGTCCTGAACAGGTCCAAATTTGCCTTGCGATACAGGAATCGGGGCTGAACAGCTGGTACACGACGAAAAGCCAAGCCAATTGTAGTAAGAATGGGTAGATGGTCCGATCCAATATCGTCCAGCACACGAGTAGTAGAGTTAAGAAACAGGCGAGGGGTCATAAGAGTCAAAACCGGACGGGATTACTCACCGGTGCCCTTCCGAAGGAAAGTCGGAGGGGTATCCGGGGATTGGGGGTGACGAAGTCCAAACTTGTCTATATATCCCTCTACCGCACGACCAACTGCATCCGATTTAGGATAACCCCACCGAAGAGAACAGGCATTAAAATCTCCGGCCAGCAGTACATTACGGCCAGTTAGGCGAGGCAAGGCTACCTTGCAACGACATGGCTGGTAGATACAGTAAATTGAAATTACGTCCCCTCCAATCTTTGTCCTAATGCCAAGTATGTCTGTTGTTGTCCGGGTACAGGGTACCACGTCAACACAAAGGGTCTCCCGGGTGAAGATAGCAATACCACGACACGGGGTATCGCAAGTACATTGTAGAAGGGTATAGCCGGGTAAGGTAAATGCACTGTCCTTCTCGAGACGAGTCTCCTGAAGTAACACCACATCCACATTCTCACTAGAAAGCAAGTTCTCCAATTCGGTCGAACGTGACCGAAGACCGAGAATATTGCACTGCAAAACTCTCAGCTCAGCCATAATAATGGTAAGTCAGACCTGTAAATAAATTACAAGACACGGTTAAAGCTCGAGTTAACCAAGTCAAGTAATAAACGGGACAACGAACACAGGCAAATAATAAAATAAGATTAAACTTACAATTTAGGGAAAGCCAAATCGTAGAAACAAACCGAACACAGAAATAAATCCAAACAAGTAGTAATAAGCACGCACATAGGCAACCAAATGACAGATCACCACGCATACACCTATATATACTGGTAAGACGGTGGAAAACCCGTGTGAAAATCAATGAGGTAGCACGTGCCGACCTATTCACGCCAAGATGGTCACACGGGAAGGCCGGCGCGCAGGCCAAGATGGTCACACGGTGTGACCGGCCAGGCATAATAGAGGTCAGCCCGTAGAGCAACAAAAGGCAAAACATGGTGTCTAGTGTCCGAACATGCGTCACAATGGACTAAGGTGGCAGCACGCCACGAGAAAACGAGGCAAAGGCAATCAAAGAAAGTCACCTACGTCATGAAAAACGGGAAAACGTCATACAATGCGAAGCGAGGAACTCAAATATCAAAACGGTCATTACAGGTAGACTGACCATCCTCAATAAGACTTCGTCGGGACAAGGAAAAAAAAAATCCGCATCTCTAGTAAAAGAATAGAAAGTTAAGACTTGCGGTCCACTCATTAGCGGCCTTATGGGAAAATGAGCAGGCTTCCTCAGCCGGCGGTATGGTACTGGGGGGCGCAAGCCCCCTGTATCAGGGGTTCACGGAACCCCCCACGGGGGGTTAATACGTGATACGCCGGACCCGTTTCAAATGACGAAGTCCTGGAGCGAGACTGTCTAATTAAAGCTCGTCCCTCCTAACTAGGAGGCAACTCTTCCACATGAACGGAAGGTTTGGTAGTAGCAGGACACAGCCCGTGCGGGTGGGAGTACTGATTGCCAATCATGGCGTCAAAACCATGAGGACGCAATCTGAGACCCCAATCAGGCCGCAAAGCTTCAACGCTTTCGTCCCTTCGCACGGGTAAACGCGGCGGTAGTAACTATGACTCTCTTAAGGTAGCCAAATGCCTCGTCATCTAATTAGTGACGCGCATGAATGAGCGCGCCACCTGTCCACCATGTCCCTCGTCGGATCTCCTACTGGCAGTCGACGAAACTTTTCGTATGACTGGGTCATCGCCCGAAACGTTGTGTGGCCAAGAGGCTCCACCGAGGCCTGAACACTCGATGCATTGGAAGAGTCCAGCGATAAATCTGGTAGCTTTGTTATGAAGCACCTCCAAGTCCTTGAATGCACGGGCTGATGCTAGTGGCAAAATGGGTGCAAAATAGTCAATGGTAAGATTTCACCAATGACAAAATAGTCAATGGTAAGATTTCACCAATGACAAAATAGTCAATGGTAAGATTTCACCAACGATAGATAAACAGGTCTAATCACACCGGCCGAAGAACCCCAACTTGTACCGGCAAGCTTCGTCAATTTGCTGTAGAAACGTCGGTCGAATGTTGAGCAGATAGACCGGACCAGGCTCCGTAAAAAGTTTCCGGTCTAAAGTCACGCCGAGAATACACGGGTGGGCTTCATAAGGAATACACTCCCCATTTAGGGTCAAATGAAGCCGAAAGTCGGACCCTTTGGTTGCAAGTGAAAAGATGGAATATGAACACTTTAGAGGGTTCATTCGCAACTGCCAGGTATGTAAGTACTCAGTGATCGAGTCTAAGTCCGCTTGAAGAGAACGTTGCAAATGCATCAGAGTAGGCCCAGTCTTGTGACACTCGAGATCATCAGCGAAGAGCACCGATTCACTGTGAATCAGTGGCGTAGGCAGGGTGCAAATCGAAAGTTTGAGGGGGGGGGGGGTGCAAATCGAAAGTTTGTCCCCGGGTAAAAATTGGAACCCCCCCCCCCCCCCCCTTGAGACGATCCTGGCTACCCCACTGCTGTGAATAATCTTGAGTAGATCGTCCACGAAATTATGAATAACACGCAGGAAAGGGAAGACCCTTGAGGCACACCCTGTTTCAAAGACAGGAAATTTGAAAATGTTCCATTGACCTTGGTCCGAATGCGTCGATTCAGCAAGAAGCACTGTAACCAAACGTACAACGCCCCGCCTAGTCCCTTCGGCTGGAGCTTGAAAAGAAGCAGGGAGGGATTAACACGGTCGTATGCCTTCTCTGCGTCGAAAAAGACGGCTGCTGTGGGTTGCTTGTGAATGAATCCCTCCCGTGCAGTCTGTAACAACCTTAAGACCAAGTCCATAGACCGCTTGCCCGCTCCAAATCCAAACTGGCGAGGGGATAGCAGACAGGCCGACACCACGTGGTAGGTCAGCCGCGCAGAAACCATTCTTTCTGCTAGCTTGCCCAAGCAACTGGATATGGAAATAGGTCTGTAGGCGGTGACATCAGATAAATCCTTCCCTCTCTTGGAGATCAGGGTAAGCCCTAAGCCACTCCTTGGGCAGCGAAGTCCGGTTGCAGAAAACCAGAAAGGCACGAAGTGCCCGAGAACCAAAATGGCGGATCATCTCGTATGAAACGCCGTCGTCCCCGGCCGCCCGATGTGAGGAAAGCTTGGATATGGCAGTCTCTAACTCGTGCAGAGTGAAAGGACTGGAGAGAGCTGCGAATCTGGCAACTTCGCCTCACCTGCTATCTGTTCAGCATGTAACAGGCGATGAATCGCCAATGTCTCGGTACGAGCACATGCAGCATAGTGCCTGTTGAGTGCTTGGGCACGTCCAAAGTCGGAATAGGAATAGACCAATCCCTTTTTGGTCTTTATGGGGGCATTCAATGTTGACACCTACAGCAGAAATAAAACGAGACATGCAGCTAAACTTAAGGCCCAAACCAACACTATAGAATTAAAATAGATAAGGAAACCAGTAAATAAATAATAGGTACTTACGATTTAAGTAATAGAAACTAAATGCGAAGTCATCAAACACATAGAAATCAGTGAAGTCCCAACCAACACAACCGCAGGAACAAAACACGATAGCTCTGTCTCAGTGGAAAGAAACGGGCTGAATAAAATAACACATCGAAAACCAACACATTAAAAGTCAAATCAAAAGTCAACCAATCAGGTAGAGCGTGTCAACCAATCAAATTAGTGTAACTCACAAATAAGTAAAAATAATAAAAGCTCTCGGAGAAAAGCGAGGAAACCGAAGTTACAGGCCAATACTGGTAAAAAAAAGTGGCTGTTCAATATGCAAAACTTGGAGTAAAGTGGTAGCATGCCACATGATGTACGGGCAAAGGTTACAAGAGAAAGTCACGTGTCATTAGAAAACGGGAAAACGTCTAAGAAAACGAAGTAGAGGTCACTGAATATCAAAGGGAGGCAATCATGAGTAGACTGGCCCACCTCAGAAAAACTTCGTCGGGACAAGGATAATAAATAAAATTCAAATCTGCATCTCTTGTAAGAGAATAAAAAAGCTAAGATTTGCGGTACATTCGAAAGCAGTCAGAGGTAATCGAATGGCTTCCCCCAGAGGCGTAGCGAGGGGGGGGGGGGCGAGGGGGGGGGAACTTATGTCCCCGGGCGCCGACCTTGGGGGGGGGGCGCCAAAATGGGTTGGAAAAACAAATTGAAAGTTTGGAGAGGGGAGGGGGGATGCAAATGGAAAATTTGACGGGGGGTGCAAATGAAAAGTTCGAGGGGGGGGGGGGTGCAAATCGAAAGTTTGTCCCCGGGCGCCGGGAAGGGTCGTAGACTCTGGCTTCCTCGGCCGGCGGTATGGTACGTCATACACATATTTATATTAAGAGAGTGATTATTTCCCCTTCTCGCTTGTCTCAATTAATTTCCAGGAATTATTATGTAAATTGCTTACAAGGATTACAAAACAAATTATATTGCGTTCATTGTTTTTTGGTTGTAGTATATATATATATATATATATATATATATATATATATATATTTTTTTCAAACATAACCCCCCCCCCCCCCCCCCCCAACCCCATAGACCCTTCTGTATATATATAAAAAGTATGAGGTGGGTGCAAATCGAAAATTTGAGGGGGGTGCAAATCGAAAGTTTGTCCCCGGATAAAAATTGGACCCCCCCCCCCTCCCCCCACCCTTGAGACGATCCTGGCTACGCCACTGCTCTGTATAGTATACGAGAAAGTAAAAACAACGGTGCATAGGATTTGTGAAACAAATAGGCTATTAATAAAATATTGGAATTTCCCGAAATATGTTTACAACGGAAGTGAAACTCTTTTTTTAGAATTGGATAAAAAAAATAGCTACTACGTTACGCCAGTTCTTTGGGTATCAATGTCAACAGCTGATTTCTAGAATATATCCAGATCTAGTTTAGATTCTAGAAGCACCACTTCATTGAACAGCTGTCTTAGCTGGCGTGTACTCAACCACCTCCCAAAATTTCATAGTGATCAGATGAATGGTGTAGTACTAGTAGTAGTGTAGTAGTAGTAGTAGTAACTGTAGTAATAGTAGCCTAAGTGCAGCCAAGTGGCTAAGCCGCTCCGCTAATGCATCCATAAAATAAAAGACAAATATTTTGGCCCTACTACTATAGTAATTAATTACTAATAATACTAGTAATACACTAATATGACTACTACCTAGTAATAGACAAACATTTTATAGAATTTAGACTTAGACTCATGGTAAAACTCCATTTTAGCATATTTTATTCGCCGCTTCGGGTTCACCTCCAGTTGAGCGTATTTTATTAATAAACACAACCAAAACACACAAAAACGTTAGGAAAACACTAGATCTACTTATTTTTTATGAATGTGATTTTTAATTAGAAAAGGTATAAAAAAACACAAAAAAGCATTAGAACTGTTCCAATTACATAGCGTGTGATCGTTAGCGGGAGAAAAATCCTTACACGGTCAAGGATTTACCGTGAGTTCACATTATCAGCATACGTCATAGCTCGGGCAATAGCTGTTTGAAATTGTGTTGGCTTCAGTTTTGGGGTTATTGTAAGTTCATAAATGTTTATTTATAGTATCATGCCTGGGAAATACTTGTAACAATACAAACTTAACCGCCTTGCAATTGTGAGTTATGTTTAAGTACTTCACCCATTGCCATTAAATTCTAACTGACACACGAACATAGCTCATTCAATATTGTAAATTTGGATTTTTCTCAAGTTTCGACAAAAGTAAATTATCAAAATCTAAAACAAAGTTAGAATCTAGTCTCTTTGTTTTTTTATTCATTTTTATTCATTTGTTAAAACAAAAATACAATACAAATAAATAAATCGTGTTTTCCTAATGTTTTGGTGTGTTTCGGTTATTATAATAAAATACGCTCAACTGGAGGTATACAAGAAGTGGAGAATAAAATACGCTAAAATGGAGTTTTACCTAGACTCATTACATTAAAATTACATGTAATTTTTAATTTTATATTATAAGATTATAAGAATGTATAGTACTATATATATATAGGTCTATAATATAGGACACAATAAGCCTAATACTAGGTACTAGGATTACGCTCCGGAGGACATACCGTGGCGAAATTTTTCTCCCTATACCAAGCTGTTGCGTGTCTGGCAATCGTGCGAGTGACGATATTCGGAAATACGCTTAATTCGCCGCTCCTGTGTGATCATTTTTCTTGTGAATGTTTTAAGTTTCAAGGATATAAATTTCACTATACTTAATACTATAGTTAGCCTATTTTTTAACGAAGTGACTACTCGGAAGAAGATTTTTCTCCCCAACATCTCCACTTAGTCGGCAAAAGATAGCTCTGCGCATGCACAGTGACCTGTGGCTAGGGTTAGGGCTAGAATTAGGGTTAGGGATAGGATTAGGGTTAGGGATAGGATTAGGGCTAGGGTTAGGGATAGGATTAGGGTTGGTGTTAGGGTTCTGCGGTTGTAAACACACGCATGCGCAGTACCATCGATAACATCGCCGCGATGGCAAGTCGTAGTTTCTCTCCATTGCGCATTCGTATCTTATTCCGGCTAGCATTGGCCATTTTTTAATATTCCTACATTTATAACATTAATTTTTGACTAGATATCACTATTATCACAATAATATAGGCCTACCTCTTTCTATTAAACTATTTAAACTATTTAAAGCCTTAACAATGAGGCAATTTTTTTTCACATTACTAACCTCAGCTGATTTTACGCATCTAAAATGATAGATTACCGTATAATTTTCTTTTCGCTGCTTCAGGTTCACCTCCCCGTTGAGCATATTTCTCAAATTTTATTAATTAAATACTTAATACAATCAAAATACACCAAAAACATTACTGTGGTACTTATTGTCTTGTTTACTACATATGTTTATGTTTTCACATAAGTTTATATTACCATTCTTGCTAGGTACTATCTCACAAAAAATTGGTAGCACTTTAAATGCATGTTTCTACATTTTCTAGGGGACGAAGAAATGTCTGACCTTTCAAACTATGAGCTAGAAATTAATCAAGCCATTGACCAGATAGTGGCCATGTTTCCTGAAGCTGATCAGGATCTGGTGGAGAGAGCAGTCACTTATGCTGCCTCTCTGTGTGGAGAGAATGCTTATGATATTCTGATTGAACAGGCAGTTACTGTATATATGGATCTGGGTAAGAAAACTGAGCCAGCTTACTGGGTCTTTGTTGGCCTACTTGACTTAGTTCCCTTTACTTCTTGTATAGTGCCTCAACCATTACCATGTAGTTTTTTAACTGGCTGTTTCCTTTCCAAGACTTCCCTGTGGTCTAGCTCTTCAAGAACACTCTGCCACGTCCATGTATTTAGATTATTTTCTTTTGTATCCAACATTCCTCCCAGTCCCTTTTAAAAAACAGTATTTTAAAATTTATCATTAACGTATACAATTTTCTTTTCAGTGGAGTATAATGAGTCAAATTCAAACAATTTACAAAGTAACTTGGCTACATTCAGTGATGTTTCTTTGGAAGAAGCTGACACAGTGGTGGATGCTGAGCCAGCCAGTGACCTGTCTCTACAGACAGACCAGGCTGACTCCATGTACGTAGCACACTCCAGCCAGGCAGAACCCCGGCTCACATTAGCAGCCATAGAACCTGATGGGCAGGAGAACAATGAGTTGGCCATGAAGACTGAACTAAGGCAGCTGAATACAAACTGTTATCAAAAAGTTTGTGCTGCCACCCAAAGCTGTCCCCTCTCTCCTCACACGTCCTCACACACTGACACTGTCAGCAAACATCCAAGTCTGAACGTGCCCTGTCACGTGTTCAATTCTAACTCATCTGATGAAGCTGCCCCTCCCAGCACATCTGCCCCTCCCAGCACATCTGCCCCTCCCAGATGCCCAGACCGTGACTTGCCTGTGTCTGCCACACCATCAGCAGACAACTTAGATTTATCCACAGAGGACTTGGTCTGTTTATTATCACAGCATCATAATGCAGGCAAGCACAGCACATGTTACATGACAGGTCAAAGTTCAAAGACTGGCTCAACTCCACTGGTTTTAAACTCATGTGTTGCTTCTTCACCCATGACATCTCCTCTGGTCAACACATCGGCCAATGGTAACTTAGCGGGAAGCACATCTTCAGATGAAGATAACGTAGATGACTTGTTTGATAACAATTTAACAAACCTGGTTGGCGATGTTGACCACACAGATAACATCCCTGATCCTGCTGGTGATAATGATGGAACTCTCTCCCTAACTTCTCGTTCATCTAGCCCAACATCAGAAACCATTGATGACAATTTGGTGGTGAAAGTTGCTTCATTACAGTCTGAGACAATTCAGGTTTCTTTATCCCACCTTCCAGTTAAATCCTCCCCACTCAGTGATAATGCATCACCTCACACAGGTAGCTCCTCCCCTCTCGCAGGTAGCTCCTCCCCTCTCGCAGGTAGCTCCTCCCCTCTCGCAGGTAGCTCCTCCCCTCTCGCAGGTAGCTCCTCCCCTCTCGCAGGTAGCTCCTCCCCTCTCGCAGGTAGCTCCTCCCCTCTCGCAGGTAGCTCCTCCCCGCACACAGATAATCTCTCCTCTACATCCCAGCCACCAACAAGCATTGAATCACCTCAAACAGACCCATCCCATCCAGCACATAACACACAACCTCCAGAGACCCAGACTTTAACTGCAACACCAGCCAACACACCCACAACTTTCAATCTTGATATGGCTGGTTATGTTAAAGCTGAACCAACTGAAACAATGGACACAAGAGAAATACTAAGTTCTTTATCAAGGGAAGTAACACTGCAGAAAAGGTCTCTTTTTCAAATAAAGAGTTTCCTCCCTGGAAATCAACACATCAAAAGTTTTATTCAAAATATAAGTAAAAGCCATTCTGACACCGCTGTTGTGAACCAAGGCTTCAACAATGTGGCCAACTCCTTCAACAACCTGCTGCTGAAGGTAGACAACCAAACAGGTAAATTTTATACTCATTTTTAGACAACCAAACAGGTACATCATATACTCGTTATTAGACATGAAGCAGGTATATCTCATTCTCATTATTTGCTAGACAACCAAACATCATATACTCGTTATTAGACATGAAGCAGGTATATCTCATTCTCATTATTTGCTAGACAACTAAACATCATATACTCGTTATGAAATTGTCTATTGATCAGTTATATTGATTACAAACCAGTTGAATAAAATCATGTGTAAAGGTGCTGTAATTGCAAGTATTTTATCCAGGAACCTCCATGTCGGGTCAGTCTAGTGGTACATGTCCAGTGGTCATGCCTGTGATGGCGCCACCTAGTGCTGCAGCCCACTTCTTTTCTAATTTCCCCACTTGGGAGAGCCAACCATCTGGGTCAGGAGTTAAAATCAAAGATGGCAAACGATCGGGTGGAAATATAGAGGCAACCACCGTAATCAAAAAGGCTAAATTTGTTAGTACTGTTTCTGTTATCTGTTAGTACTACTTCCTTTATCTGTCACATGTGCTTCTTGTATCTTTGGTAATACTTCTTTCGCTAGTTAGTGCTACTAGTATCACCTTTTGCTAGTTAGTGCCACTAGTATCATCTTTTGCTAGTAAGTACCACTAGCATCACCTTGGTAATACTTCTAGTTAGTGCTACTAGTATCACCTTTTGCTAGTTAGTGCCACTAGTATCACCTTTTGCTAGTAAGTACCACTAGCATCACCTTGGTAATACTTCTAGTTAGTGCTACTAGTATCACCATTTGCTAGTTAGTGCCATTAGTATCACCTTTTGCTAGTAAATACCCCTAGCATCACCTTGGTAATACTTCTAGTTAGTACCACTAGTATCACCTTGGTAATACTTCTAGTTAGTGCCACTAGTATCACCTTTTGCAAAGTAAGTACCACTAGCATCACCTTGGTAATACTTCTAGTTAGTACCACTAGTATCACCATGGTAATACTTCTAGTAAGTACCACTAGCATCACCATGGTAATACTTCTAGTTAGTACCACTAGTATCACCTTGGTAATACTTCTAGTTAGTACCACTAGTATCACCATGGTAATACTTCTAGTAAGTACCACTAGTATCACCTTTAGATCCACTAGCCAAGCTGTGTACTGATGAACTTTAGTTAGTACCACTAGTATCACCTTTAGATCCACTAGCCAAGCTGTGTACTGATGAACTTGTCTTAGGAGCCCAGCACATCCTACAGAAATCCAGCAGATGACATGACAGATGAGGTGTCTGATGGGGCCAGTTTGGTGGCCTTCCTGGAGCAGAGTAGAGAGTCACCGGACAGTCTGGCAGGTACTGTAGCAAGTACTGTGGTGTGTGGTGGGTACTGTGGTGTGTGGTGGGTACTGTGGTGTGGTGGGTACTGTGGTGTGTACTGTGTTGTGTGGGGGCTACTGTGTGTGTGTGGGGGGGGGTACTGTGGTGCATAGTTGGTACTGTGTTGTGGGGGCTACTGTGTGTGTGTGGGGGGGGGGGGTACTGTGGTGCATAGTTGGTACTGTGTTGTGGGGGCTACTGTGTGTGTGTGGGGGGGGGGGGGTACTGTGGTGCATAGTTGGTACTGTGTTGTGGGGGGTACTGTGGTGCATAGTTGGTACTGTGTTGTGGGGGGTACTGTGTGTGTGTGTTGTGGGGGGTACTGTGGTGCATAGTTGGTACTGTGTTGTGGGGGGTACTGTGGTGCATAGTTGGTACTGTGTTGTGGGGGGTACTGTGTGTGTGGGGGGGGGGGGGGGTACTGTGGTGCATAGTTGGTACTGTGTTGTGGGGGCTACTGTGTGTGTGTGTTGTGGGGGGTACTGTGGTGCATAGTTGGTACTGTGTTGTGGGGGGTACTGTGTGTGTGTTGTGGGGGGTACTGTGGTGCATAGTTGGTACTGTGTTGTGGGGGGTACTGTGGTGCATAGTTGGTACTGTGTTGTGGGGGGTACTGTGGTGCATAGTTGGTACTGTGTTGTGGGGGGTACTGTGGTGCATAGTTGGTACTGTGTTGTGGGGGGTACTGTGGTGCATAGTTGGTACTGTGTTGTGGGGGGTACTGTGGTGCATAGTTGGTACTGTGTTGTGGGGGGTACTGTGCTATGTGGTGGGTACTGTGATGTACGGTGGGTACTGTGTTGTGTTGTGTGGCGGGTGCTGTGTTGTGTCTTGGCCCTTTCAATTTCTCATCTTTGCATACACATTTTAACCAATATTTATTGTGAGCTATTGCAATCACTCCCAGTGATTTTATTTTGTAGATAAAAACTTAAGAACAGACTGATTAAGATAACTGCATGATTTTGACAAGATGTTTGAGACAAAACTTAAGAACAGACTGATTAAGATAACTGCATGATTTTGACAAGTTGTTTGAGACAAAACTTAAGAACAGACTGATTAAGATAACTGCATGATTTTGACAAGATGTTTGAGACAAAACTTAAGAACAGACTGATTTAGATAACTGCATGATTTTGACAAGATGTTTGAGACAAAACTTAAGAACAGACTGATTAAGATAACTGCATGATTTTGACAAGATGTTTGAGACAAAACTTAAGAACAGACTGATTAAGATAACTGCATGATTTGACAAGTTGTTTGAGACAAAACTTAAGAACAGACTGATTAAGATAACTGCATGATTTTGACAAGATGTTTGAGACAAAACTTAAGAACAGACTGATTAAGATAACTGCATAATTTTGACAAGATGTTTGAGACAAAACAATTCTCCCCAGCCATAATAGTTGAGTGTAATGTGTGTAGCACATTTCACCCTGTAACCAAGTGTGCTACGTGTACAGCTGACCATCAAGTGTGCAAGTCGTGTGTTGAGGACGAAGTTCGTGTGGTCATGTTAGACAAACAAAAGGTAGTTCCATTTGATGCAATTTTGGTTGATGCAGTTTTTATTTTTCTTAAGCCATTTGATGCAGTTTTTATTTTTTTAAAGCCATTTCATGCAAATTTTATTTTTACTTAGGCTATTTGATGCCATTTTTATTGTTCTTAGGCCATTTGATGCAATTTGACTTTTTCTTAGGCCATTTACCCAGTTCATCCATTTGATGCAATTTTTACTTAAGGCCATTTGATGCAATTTTTATCTTTACTTAGGCCATTTAACCAATTCATCCATTTGATGCACTTTTTCTTTTTCTTGGGCCTTTTACCCAGTTCTTCAATTTCATGCAAATTAATTTATTTTTTACTTAGGCCATTTACCCAAATTATTAATCTCATGCAATTTTACTCTATTCCATTTACTCAATAATTCATTTCATATAATTTTTTGTTGCTTACTTTCCCAATTAGAAAGCTTCAAACCATTTAAAAAACCCATTATTTTTGGTGATTTAACACATAGACAAATGTTTGATCAAATAAAAAAAGAATCTGCAAGATTTATGTATTCATTTTTTTTAAGCTGCATGTTTCTTGTCCAGTTCCTTTCTGCAAAGAGAGCATTGATCTTGGTGAGTAAGATCTTTGTAAAATGTATATGATCTCCAGTACAGATAAGCTATGAAATGCAGATATGAAATGTTTAAGTTTAAGATCTCATGTACAGTTATACTAGTTACAGGTGTGAAAGTTATAAGATCCTAGGCTTAAAGAATGGTTATATTGTTTTTTATCCTACTTAACTTAATGTATAATTTTAGGCCCCTAATATTGTTTGTTTCCATAGAATACTTGGAATCTGTGCTTGGTGCTTTTGTCCTTAGCCTACTGAAGAGTAGGATCCAGCAGAACGAAAACGAAGTTTCAGCGCAAGTCATTAAAAAAATGAGTGGCCTTGTTAGGTAAGAGCCTAGTCTTAACAGATAAGGCCTAGTTTTGTCAGATTAAGGCCTTGTTTATATATTATTATTAGATAAAGGCCTTATGTATTGTTAGATAACGGCCTTGTGTATTGTTAGATAAGGGCCTTGTGTATTATCAGATAAGGGCCTTGTGTATTGTTAGATAAGGGCCTTGTGTATTGTTAGATAATGTCCGTGTATTGTCAGATAAGGGCCTTGTGTATTGTTAGATAAGGGCCTTGTGTATTGTTAGATAAGGGCCTTGTGTATTGTTAGATAAGGGCCTTGTGTGTTGTTAGATAAGGGCCTTGTGTATTGTCAGATAAGGCCTTGTGTATTGTTAGATAAGGGCCTTGTGTATTGTCAGATAAGGGCCTTGTGTTTTAACTGTTGTCCCCTAGTTAAAGCCAGTTTTATTTTCTTGTATTTTATTCCTGACTGTGTTTCAGCTGTCCAAAATGTACATTCACTGCATTGCTTGATGAAGAAGAGCTTCATTTTACCTGTGAAAATAACAATTGTCATACGGTGAGTTGAGCAGCCATAATTCTATCCTTACCTCAGAACTACAGTTAAGCTGGTATAAAAATATTTGTGACATAAAATTTAGGCTGGCATAAAAATATTTTTAACATAAAATTTAAGCTTATAAACTGCTTAATACCCAAATGTTAATGACCATGAAACTTTAGAGCCCTGTTGTAATTTGTGATCATTTTTTTAAAATGACAGAATCGTCATGGGGCAGTGATATGTTTGGTCAATTTTATGAGATTTTGATTTATATGTACATTTTGTGACAGACAATTGAAATGTGTAGAAACATTTTGTGACAGAAAATTGAAATGTGTAGAAACATTTTGTGACAGACAATTGAAATGTGTAGAAACATTTTGTGACAGACAATTGAAATGTGTAGAAACATTTTGTGACAGACAATTGAAATGTGTAGAAACATTTTGTGACAGACAATTGAAATGTGTAGAAACATTTTGTGATGACAAAAATGAAACATGTAGGAAAATTTAAATGAAACATGTAGGAAAAATTAGATGTAACAATTTCAGAACATCTGCTGGTACTGCAAGTGTGACTGGACGTCCAGACAACACCACTACGCCTGTCTTCTGCTCAACTTTGCTGGCTTTGAGTGTCTGGAGGATTTCTCTAAACTACCTGCTAACTGGAAGACCAATCATTTCACTGGGAACTTAAAAATGGTTGGTTTCAAATCATTTCACTGGGAACCTAAAAATGGTTGGTTTAAAATCATTTCACTGGGAACCTAAAAATGGTTGGTTTAAAATCATTTCACTGGGAACTTAAAAATGGTTGGTTTCAAATCATTTCACTGGGAACCTAAAAATGGTTGGTTTAAAATCATTTCACTGGGAACTTAAAAATGGTTGGTTTCAAATCATTTCACTGGGAACTTAAAAATGGTTGGTTTCAAATCATTTCACTGGGAGCTTAAAAATGGTTGGTTTAATTTTAAAATCATTTCACTGGGAACTTAAAAATGGTTGGTTTAAAATCATTTCACTGGGAACTTAAAAATGGTTGGTTTAATTTTAAAATCATTTCACTGGGAACTTAAAAATGGTTGGTTTAATTTTAAAATCATTTCACTGGGAACTTAAAAATGGTTGGTTTAATTTTAAAATCATTTCACTGGGAACTTAAAAATGGTTGGTTTAAAATCATTTCACTGGGAACTTAAAAATGGTTGGTTTAAAATCATTTCACTGGGAACTTAAAAATGGTTGGTTTAAAATCATTTCACTGGGAACTTAAAAATGGTTGGTTTAAAATCATTTCACTGGGAACTTAAAAATGGTTGGCTTAAAATCATTTCACTGGGAACTTAAAAATGGTTGGTTTAAAATCATTTCACTGGGAACTTAAAAATGGTAACTCAGGGAACTGGTGGGTAACTGACTCAGGGAACTTGTGGGTACTTGACTTAACTCAGGGAACTGGTGGGTACCCGACAATCAGTTTCCTGTTTCACATGTTTTATGGTGCTTTTAACATAGCAATTATCTACTTAACTCAAAATTTTACCTTGATCACTGAGCAATGATCTACTTTAAGTTTTACCTTGATCACTGACCTACTCAGGTTGACCTTGACCCTAACAGTCTTGAGGCTCTGAGGTTAATGACCTACTTCTATAAGACCAGCAACTGCACTGTCATCAAAGTTTGGCGTGTTCAAAACAAAAAACTCTGGGAGAAATACATCTTGTAAGTTTTTTTTCACTTTCAGTTGATATCTAAATCTTAATTGTATGACTTTAAATTTGAATATATAATTACAATTATGTGGCTGAAAATTTTAACTATTACTTAATGTTGCATTTGTAATCCACAAATTTTGAGTTATAAATTTCAAGGTCTGTCCCATGCATGTTGATTCCTGCTTACAATGCCTATGATCAAGAGAAATTTATTTACATCAGGCTAACATATTACAAGTTATAGGACATAAAATATGAGTATCCCTGTCGGTATGTTGTGAGTGTAAATCACCCAGTGACAAAGAAAAATTTTTTTTACTGTAAAATAAAACAGTTACACATATATTTAACCTTCAGCAGATGCTTGCTGAAAAAGTCAAGGGACAATACTTTGATAGTTTTGGCCCTAAACAAGTGACACTTTACTAGAACTTTTTGGGTCATTAAATAAAGGACAGTAGGCATAAAATCCTAGAGCAGAATTTTGAGCAGGGGGGTAATTAATGTAGGTTATAATGAACTGGGGGGGGGGGGGGTAATTGATGTAGGGTATAATGACCTGGGGGGAGGGGGTATAGTATGCAGGTGGACTCTACCCAAATCATGATGTATTCTGTAGTCCCTTCCGTCACAATCTCAGGATTTTCGTCCTAAAAATATACCATGTATGAAAATGATGTAGTAGGTGTCCTGACATCATAAGCCCAATTTCATCTCCATAGGTCAAGAATTATTCACATTATGACATGTGTACAAAAATGTGAGATTAAAATGTCTGTAAAATCTTATTTAGTACATGCAATTCTGGAATGCTATTTACTAAGTATTAGAATGAGGCATTTTATTTGAAGAATAAACAATTCATAAGAGATCTAAAAAAATAAATTAATAATTGTTTTAAATTTTCAAATATTTTCATCAATTGAGATCTAATGCAATTTGAATGTTGAAAATGTAAAGCAATAAAAAAACTAAACTTTGTGCTTACATTGTAGAAAAGAGGTGCTGGAATACAAAGAGTGCAAAACAATATTAAAATTCGTGTTTTTACTTAGACAATGTTTTGGTCAAAACACACGTACAATAATGACACAGTGTCACAAGGGTTAGGTTAATAAATATTATTGTTAAATATTGTTATATAGTGTGATTTATTGTAACTAGCCCTGGAAATCTGAAATCATAAGAAACATTTTGTCACTGGTTGTGTTTTTCCTACCCCAGAAAGCGCAAGCACATGAAAGAGGAGCTTGGAGTTGAAAACATAAACGAAAAAGTTCTCTTTCATGGAACACATGAAAAAAATATCCAGGTCATATGTAACGATGGCTTCGATATGAGAGTCAAGACAGTTAATGGTTCAGCTTTTGGAAAAGGTAATGTTCTTATAGAAAAGGTCCCTTTTTCTTTTACCCCATGATAATGGTACAAGTAATCCCTTAATTCTGGCACAATTTACTCCTTGATTTTGGTACAAATTAACCCCCTTGATTTTGGTACAAAGTACCCCCTTGGTTGTAGTATAATTTACTCCTTGACAATGGTACACAAGTGTAAAGCTCTAGACCCTCTCCCTCCCCAGGTGTCTACTTCAGCTCTAATGCCGAGTACTCAGAGAAATATTCCATCAATGGCAAGACCATGATTGTTGCGCGTGTCTTGTGTGGGACATCTACTGTTGGTGGTCCAAATCTGACACGCCCCCCAGCCGATACAGCTGGACGGCTGTTTGACACCTGTGTTGACCAAGTCCCCAACCCATTCATCTACACAGTGTTTGACAACTCTCAATGCTACCCAGCTGCCCTCATCCAGTACAATTAGTTCTTCATTGGTCCATCTTGTGCTCAATGTTTAGATACATGGCCAGGCACAGTTTTCATCATCTTTCAAGGGTGAGGTTTTCAATGTTCAAGAAAATCCTAGGATTATATAGCAGTGTGAAAGAAATGTTCAAGAAAATCATTGAATTATATTATTTATAGCAGTGTGACAGAAATGTTGAAGATTATATCGCAGTGTGAAAGAAATGTTCAAGAAAATCCTAGCATATACAGCAGTTTGAAAGAAATATTCAGGAAAATCCTAGGATTATATAACAGAGTGAAAGAAATATTCAGGAAAATCCTAGGATTATATAGCAGTCTGATAGAAATGTTCAGAGAAATCTGCTAAGCTACAAACTACATCTGCCTCATTTTTTAACCAAATAAAAATGACATTTTTGTTTTACATAGATGAAACTTGCTTTTTATACTAAAGTATATAAGATAATTCTGTGAATTATGTAAAAACAATAGAAATAAATCTTGATTAATTAAAAAAATATTTTTCTCACAATTTGGTCTTAGTAACTTTTGACCAGTAGTGCATACTTGATACGATTTGATTTTAATTAAAGGTGTAGAATAAACAACACATTTTGAAAAGCTTTAATAAATGGTTGGGGGGTAAAAAGGCAGGCAGAAGATGGGAGGACATTATCAGTATCAGATATGTTTACAATTGGGTGAGGAATGGAGGAAAATGATCACCCTGCATGACATGGTCTTTGAAATAAAGGAACTCTACTTCATCTGCCCCATGTGCCTTGGGCACCAACAGCAATAGATGGTGATGAGTAAGGAACTGGAATTCTGCAAAGTCAACTTATCAACATGACAACAATTTTTCTGACAACTTACACGAATGAAGAAGTAATGGTTAAACTTTTAACTATGAAAGAAAAATGTGTCAGTCATTTTCTAAATAGACGCATTCAATGACCAATAGTTTAATAAACACACTGACCACAAGATAGACACCTTCATTGACCACATATAAGCTGACCACAAGATAAGAGCATCTATTTCACTTTTGTTAATGTATCATTCATCATTAACTGCTCTAGCTTGTTTTGACTGACTTATTTCCAGAAAAAGGAGCCACTTTCCTAAAAATACCTGTATTATTTTTTTATTTTCCCAAAAAAAAAAGCTCTAAAGTGCTTGCCGAGGAGCTGCACTGGTATGTGCCCACTAGTGTACTGGGAACATGTACATCTGTGCTTTGTGTACGACTACACATATCCAATTCATGCATTTACATAATCAATACACAAGTGTGTACCTAATTAGTACATAAGTTTACAAATTCAGTAACAATTAAAATATTAATTTACCATTTTATAAAATTGTAACTTATTTAAACATTTCAGTATTACAACACCAAAACTCAATAGACAAAGTATCTTTTATTTGAAAACAAATGAAAACACAGATACTGACATAGTTATAAATAAGTCTAGTGCTTGACTCTAAAGTTTGCAAATAAAACCTGGACTCTTACCAGCTTAAGGTTTATCTTGAAAAAGAATTAGAAAAGAAAAAACGATTATACAGCTTTGCATTCTTATAAAATTAAAATAAACATGATTATTTTTTTACATTAACAGACAAGTTCAAAAACATAAGTAGTTTTTATTTAAAACCTTGATTTTTAAATGTCAAAATTGACTAAAGTGTCTAAAGTCAAGCTTTGGAAAAACTAAAAAATTTAAAATAGAATCAAGAAAACTCAATTTATTATTTACATTTCTGTTGAAAAAAACCCAAATAGAATCAAGAAATGACATTAATTATGATTTAAATTTTTGTTAAAAAAAAACCCAAATAGAATCAAGAAATGATATTAATTATGATTTACATTTTAGTTAAAAATTCAACAAATAGAATCAAGAAATGACATTATTTATGATTTACATTTTTGTTGAAAAAAAACAACAACAAATAGAATCAAGGAATCTCATTATTATGATGTACATTTCTGTTATGCCTAATTAAACTACCACGTTGAGTGAAGTGACAGTCACAGATAAAACAACTGAATGGTTTTTTCCCTGAATGTGTCAACATGTGATTATTTAAAGTTTGCAACAAGGTGAAACTGTTACCACAAATAGCACAGTTGAACTCTCTATCCTTATGTATCTTCTTATGTGGATACATGGCAGTACGATGAAATGTAGAAAAATCACATTGATCGCAGGTATACAAACGTCTTTGAATATGTTTACTTTCAACATGACTTTTGAGAATCCGCTCTGTAGTATAAAACTTGCCACACTCATAACATGGAAATGGTTTTATTTTATCATCTAAAGATACATCAAGATTTGTTTCTGGACTGAAGCCTCTTTGAACATCCACAAAACTGCTAGCAGTCTTTGTGTCTTTTCTAGGTAGGCTTCTCTGCTGAAAGTCTTTTGGCCACTTGACATGAATTTCCTGTTGCAATGGATCATCATTTGTAGCTGGTAATGTTGTCTTTGTTTCTAGCTCGGCATGCTTAGATTTCTCAAATAGCAAGTTTGTCAGTGCTGATGTTTCTGGACTGAAACCTGTCTGAACATCCACAAAACTGTTAGCAGTCTTTGTGTCTTTTCTAGGTAGGCTTCTCTGCTGAAAGTCTTTTGGCCACTTGACATGAATTTCCTGTTGCAATGGATCATCATTTGTAGCTGGTAATGTTGTCTTTGTTTCTAGCTCGGCATGCTTAGATTTCTCAAATAGCAAGTTTGTCAGTGCTGATGTTTCTGGACTGAAACCTGTCTGAACATCCACAAAACTGTTAGCAGTCTTTGTGTCTTTTCTAGGTAGGCTTCTCTGCTGAAAGTCTTTTGGCCACTTGACATGAATTTCCTGTTGCAATGGATCATCATTTGTAGCTGGTAATGTTGTCTTTGTTTCTAGCTCGGCATGCTTAGATTTCTCAAATAGCAAGTTTGTCAGTGCTGATGTTTCTGGACTGAAACCTGTCTGAACATCCACAAAACTGTTAGCAGTCTTTGTGTCTTTTCTAGGTAGGCTTCTCTGCTGAAAGTCTTTTGGCCACTTGACATGAATTTCCTGTTGCAATGGATCATCATTTGTAGCTGGTAATGTTGTCTTTGTTTCTAGCTCGGCATGCTTAGATTTCTCAAATAGCAAGTTTGTCAGTGCTGATGTTTCTGGACTGAAACCTGTCTGAACATCCACAAAACTGTTAGCAGTCTTTGTGTCTTTTCTAGGTAGGCTTCTCTGCTGAAAGTCTTTTGGCCACTTGACATGAATTTCCTGTTGCAATGGATCATCATTTGTAGCTGGTAATGTTGTCTTTGTTTCTAGCTCGGCATGCTTAGATTTCTCAAATAGCAAGTTTGTCAGTGCTGATGTTTCTGGACTGAAACCTGTCTGAACATCCACAAAACTGTTAGCAGTCTTTGTGTCTTTTCTAGGTAGGCTTCTCTGCTGAAAGTCTTTTGGCCACTTGACATGAATTTCCTGTTGCAATGGATCATCATTTGTAGCTGGTAATGTTGTCTTTGTTTCTAGCTTGGCATGCTTAGATTTCTCAAATAGCAAGTTTGTCAGTGCTGATGTTTCTGGACTGAAACCTGTCTGAACATCCACAAAACTGTTAGCAGTCTTTGCGTCTTTTCTAGGTAGGCTTCTCTGCTGAAAGTCTTTTGGCCACTTGACATGAATTTCCTGTTGCAATGGATCATCATTTGTAGCTGGTAATGTTGTCTTTGTTTCTAGCTTGGCATGCTTAGATTTCTCAAATAGCAAGTTTGTCAGTGCTGATGTTTCTGGACTGAAACCTGTCTGAACATCCACAAAACTGTTAGCAGTCTTTGCGTCTTTTCTAGGTAGGCTTCTCTGCTGAAAGTCTTTTGGCCACTTGACATGAATTTCCTGTTGCAATGGATCATCATTTGTAGCTGGTAATGTTGTCTTTGTTTCTAGCTTGGCATGCTTAGATTTCTCAAATAGCAAGTTTGTCAGTGCTGATGTTTCTGGACTGAAACCTGTCTGAACATCCACAAAACTGTTAGCAGTCTTTGCGTCTTTTCTAGGTAGGCTTCTCTGCTGAAAGTCTTTTGGCCACTTGACATGAATTTCCTGTTGCAATGGATCATCATTTGTAGCTGGTAATGTTGTCTTTGTTTCTAGCTTGGCATGCTTAGATTTCTCAAATAGCAAGTTTGTCGGTGCTGATGTTTTGGACAACTTTCTTTGTCCTGGTGGTGTTGCTGCTGCCTGTTCTACAAGCTTGGACCCAACATCACAAGCAACCACCTGATTTTTTCTTTGATGATGAGAGAAGTGTTTTTTCAGCCGTGACCAACGTCTAGTGGTGAACTTACACAGCTCACACGCAAGTTTGTCTTCAGGATGAGTGTTAGTCTTGTGGGTTCCAAAAATGGATTCATCCCCAGTGACAAAATCACAAAAACAGCATTCTATAAGCATAATGGAAGTGTGTTTTTTTATGAAATGTTTTTTCAGTTTTTTAAAACTGGAACAGTTCTTGAAACAAATGTTACAAACTTCACCCATTTGTAAGTTTTTGGGAATTTAAATTACTCTGGAAAACTTCTGCGTACACTTGGATTTGTTTTGCTTTGAGCCAATGCTTGACTGAATATCTGATGTAAGAATAGAGTGTTATCCTGGAGGGCAAAAATAAAACAGTGATAAATGTAAGGGATTTTATTAGAACAAAATTAATATATAAAATATATCCCTAACTGTATGTGCAAAATTAGAAGACATCCCAGTCTAAGTCTTCTCTGCTATTGTTTTACTTGTGTTAATTTATTGTGTGTTTCGTATTTTATTATCCATTCAGGTTAGGGTTTTGGTTAAGGTACATGATAAATATAGGGATAGTGGATAGGTTTAGGGATTTAAGGTTCAGGTTAAAGTTCAGGTTCTTGTTGAGGTTAAGGTTACTAATTAGTTTGAAAAAAAAAATGTTTAATGGCAACTTGGGTGATGTCATGTTTGGTAGAGTAGTGCAAGAATACTAATTAAACTTAAAATTAATAGCGTTTTCATCATGACACTTTATATTTTTCAATATTTCAGGTAGGGAAGGGGGAGGGGCCTATTTGTTTATCATGCTCCATTTGTATTATTTATGATAGATTCCAAAAAGGGAACATTTCAACGGTTGTTCACTGAGCAGCTTAATAGATTAGTGACACACCCTTAATAAGTAGGCGGAAGCAGAAGATCTATAAAAAAAATCTAAATGATTAATATTATAATTCTAGATTCTAGCTACCCTCTTCAGAAAATATAAATAAAATATGAAAAATTAGTAGATCTAGGCCCTTTAGTTTTACTAGATCTAAAATCTAGATCTAGTAAATATCTACTAAAAAATACTAAGGCAAGTTAATTTATAATCTTTTAAGGTAGGCCTATGTAAAATTGGCCAAAAGATGCCTAATTAATTATATTATATTAGGCCTCGGGGCCTTCAGTAATTAAAAATTAATATTTTAGTAGTCCTAAGTATAATTATTTGGCAATTTTACTAGGATTTAGAAATCTAATTAAAATTAAATGTTTCATGTACAATATTAGGCCAAATGTTGACATGTATGTAGTATGTAATACCAGTGGCGTAGCCAGGTGGGTGTCACTTCCCAGAGGCGTGGTGACCCTTCCCGGAGACAAACTTTTCTATTTGCACCCCCCTCAAACTTTCTATTTGCACCCCCCTTTCAAGTTTTTCTTCTATATAATTTGCTATTTTTTTGCCTTAGTGTCACCCCCCCCCCCTAAATGGTGTCACCCGGTGCGGTCCGCCCCCCCCCCCCTCGCTACGCCTCTGTGTAATACTAATACTAATAGAAATAATTAGAATAGGCCTATCCTATCGATCTTAATTTATAGATCTAGAGTCTAGATCTAGTCTAGATCTCGTTTGACCTAACATGAGCGCTTAAGCGACAATGCTGATTTCTTAATTTTTTAAAAATGTCCTGAAATTTAAATAAAACTTCTGGGAAACTCCTGGAATTTGTTTTTAACTTTGGAGCATGAACCCTATCGCTACTAAACTAACTAGAGTCTAGATCTAGATCTAAATTCTAAATCTAGAGAATCTAGGTTCTAGAAATCTAGATCTAGATCTAGATCTATAATTCTATATCTAGATCTAGATCTACCTAGGTCCTAGATCTAGCGACTAGGCCTAAGATCTAAATCTAGATAGATTCTAGTACTAGTAGCAGATAAGTTCTATTGTCTGGCATAGTAATTAATAATTAATTAGTAGACTGTAGTGTAGACGATACTATTCACTCAATGTCAACAATACACGTGTAGAAACTAAGGTGTTACCCTTCATTTCACAGGCGACGACAGTTAAACCAGGTTCGACAACCGCAGCAGTTTTTAAATAAAATTGGCACGAAACTTTTATTTAAAAACTAGGACTGGATTCTGAGTAAAAAAAAACGGATACGCGCACGCTTCTCTAGAGTAGACCGTCCAAAGGGATCGTGACGGTGGCCAGTGTTTCTTCCAGATTTTTTTCTCCGGGGGGGGGGGGGGGGGTGGGTGGGGGGGGGGGGGGGTAGGTTCAGATACTGTGACCACACACTTTTGCATTTAAAAAAGCAAGGTTGGAAATTGAATTTTAGCAGATATTTCAGGTTTTTAGAAGACTTACACTTTTTTTTGTAAATTGCAATAAAAATTGGTCAACGTTCTCATTGTTGATCTCTCAGTTAATATTTTTAAAAAGAATGGGTATTAATATTTTCTTCATGGCTGCCATGATATGTGGCGTCGTTAGATGGGGGGGGGGGGGGAGAGTCTGGATTTTTGTGACGATGTGTCACGATGGATGGTGGTAAGGAAATATTCCGAAATATCGTTTTAAAAAGCGTGACATCTTTGATGGATGTGTATTATTTTAAAACATTCCTCCCCCAAACATAGCCTAATAGAAAAGCACACAATTTACTTAGAAAAAATATATATAATCTACTTAAACCAGTGCCCACCCCTTTCGCCGGTAGTTTCAAGTGGCCGCTCAAATTTGCGGGCAGCCCGTAGAAGAAACGCGTAAAATGACCTCAAATTTAAAGACCATACCATATGCTATTTACTACGAATATCATTGAGAACAAGTTTGAGCCTAACATTTTTATTATTTAATTAAAACCGTTTTTGTTATATAAATTCGACATACAGTTATATTAATATTTAATGTGTACAATATTTTTTTTCCATCTGTTAAAAACTTAAGTTACATGATGTTAGACACCAGTTCTAGCATTTATTTTTGCGATCTACGTGGGTTCCAGGAAATGTCTAAAAATAGTAATAGTAGTCATAAATAAAGTAGGTCAGGATTAGATTTAACATAACAGAGCGACAAAAACAAATAACAATTTCAATAACAGTATCTTCCTTAAATTTTTAGGTTTTCCTTTTCATTTTTTTATATCTCTATTTTTTTTAAATTTATTTTATTGCTGTTTGCTTTTCTTTTTTAAAAAAGAGTCTAGCCTAGTCTAACTAAACAAAATAACACTGAACGGCATATTCGTTTTTCTTGGAATTCGGCAATAACAAAAACAAAACTGAAATTTGGCCCAAATGAAATATTTGATACTCTAGATCTAGACATTATTAATAATACAAATATAAAACATTTAAATATATTTAAAATATCAATATATAATTATCTTAATCATCGGCCTAAAAAATGTCAAAATATAGTTAATATTTAGTTAATATAATAGTTTAGTTATTCTAGGGTTAGGTTTGGTAAATAGTTGTTTATTCTTTATCGGAAATTCTGGCCTTGGCGTTTGTCGTTTAGTTGTCGTGTTTACATCTTACGCAGATCTAGAGATCTAGATTAACTATCAGGTTTATAAGACTATAGAACTCACGAATTCTAATCTTATGCTACTACCTAATCTATTTTCTAACCTAGCCTAAAATCTACATTTAGCCTTGGAATGGTTGATGTTTTAGTTTTGAATCTAGTTTTTAGGTAGTCTTATCAATAACGATAAGATAAGACTTTTAATTTTTTAAATTTTTAAATCAATAAATCTTATTTCTTACAACTTGTGGCAATGAATTTGCGTCTACTATTGTCTACTATCTAGATCAGTGGTTCCTAAACTTTTTCGAGTGGCGACCCCCTTTAAGCCCTTTTATAAAAAATAAGTGACTCGCGACCCCCATTCAATTAAAAAGTTGATATTAGAAAGGAGTAAGGAAATTAATATGCACTAAAATAAGATTTTCCAGTAGACTTTCAATATGAATTATTTTTTATAACTTTTTTAATACGATGAGTGAAATTGCATGCTATTATCTACACTCAAGTTTGCCGTTAAGTTTTTTGCTAACACGTTTTTTGCTAACCCCAACCTCATGTCATTCTCAACTTAATTTATTTCTTTGTTTTGTTTTTATTGGAGAAGTTTTGAAAATCTTTTCTCATATAGATATGTAGACACAAAAGGAACTAAAACTTGAAAGACAATCAGTTTCAAGTTGGGGTATGAAAGGTGCATATTACACCAACATTGTGGTGAAATAACCAGATTCACAACATTTCCTTTTGGCAGCCAGAGTACTGTTGTGTAGAAAAGCAGAACCTCGTGATCGTTATTCGTGTCTTTGCAAAGTTCTTTAAACAGATGGGTATAGGGCTCCAGTTTTAATATAATTTACGACTTTTTTTAGCAATGGAGTTGGAAGAGTCTTGCTGGCGATAGCATACCGGTGAATCATGCAATGGATTCCCCTTGGTTAGGGAGCTAAATCTTTTAAGTTTTTCTGAAAGCCCGATCTTGACCCAAACATAGATGACGCACCATCCATAAAAGCACCACAGCCGTTTTCCCATTTTAATCCACCAGTTTCAAAAAGGGTATTTATTTTCTCCATTGTATTTACAAAATAGCAACTCTTCTTTGCTAACATCTGAATGAATATATTTCACAAAGACAAACACAAACTCACGTCTGTTGATTCATTAACTTAAAACGCAAACAATGGTGAAAACTTTATTTCATTCAAAATTTGTTCTTTAACATCTACGGACAAGCATGCTATAACCCACTGAATAGTATTATTAGACAGAGATATTTGTTACATTTTTACTGCACTGGAATCCCCAAGAATTAATTTCACCATCTTCATCATGCATGATGCTTGTACTAATGCTGTGTTTCCTTGGTGAAAACTTCCTGTTCAATCAAATTTCTGGCGTTTGCAACTAGCTTCATGCTGACGAAAGAACTCCATATCTTTTTTGGTGTGTTCCGAATGACTCGTCTCAAAATGACGTTTTAGGTTTGAAGGTTTTATAGACTCATGACTGAGAACAACTTTGCACAGTACGCATTGCTTCTTCTCTATTCCATCTCAGTAATGTTAGTAAAGCCGAATTTCAGATATTCTTCTAAATATTTGGGTTTTTTTTTTCAATGCTAGGGTTTAGTTGGCGACCCCCAGAAAGCCCTTGGGACCCCCCCGTTTGGGAACCCATGATCTAGATCTATCTATGCTTGGTCTACTCACTCTCTACTGCTAGTCTACACATAGTGTCGCATAGACTACATAGTCACTATAGACTAGAGCATAGACTATGTCATAGTACATAATACTACATGAATGTTTAACATATGCATGCAGGTGCTTAGTATAAAATAATTAGTCTTATTTGTTAGGTCTACAAAAAATTGATATTATTATTAGAACTTGTTCTATTTTTAGTATTTTTCAAACAAAAAACAGAAAGCAGACAACCAGAGATCTACTAATTTGGAATGTTGGCAGTCAGTACTGTTTTCCTTTACTTTGGATATGGAGTAGTATTTATCACTGTTCTCATTTTGTTGATATTAAAATTTTGGGATCACAGTACTAAAAATAAAACAGGTAAATAAAATAAAAATTACTAGTCTAGAAACTAAGTAGTAACTGATAATTGAAAATTTCTTTTTGTTTTTGAGGTCGGACGTAAATGATGTCACACTTATAGGGTGAAAGGGGGTCCATTATTTTGGTGTGATGGGGGTGGGGGCCACATGTCAGATAGTGTGACATCACACTTAACCATTTAAAAAGTAATGTTAGAAACTGAATTTTAGATGTTAGAAAATTGTTCTAATAAATTGTAATAGAATTGATTAAAACATTCAATATTGTAAAGAAAAAATATTGATGGTTAAAAAAAAATTGTAGACTAAGGTGTGATGTCATTTTTTTTTGGAGAGAGGGGGGGGCGTGGTTTTTTGTGACTATGTATAACAGAAAAAGGGGTGGGGGGGGGGGGGGGGGGGTAAAAATCATCAAAAACAGTGTGATGTTATTTATTGTTGATCACTTAGCAATCCTGCATCCTACCAAACCATCCCATAGAGATATGGTTGGTCTATGTTTATATTTTTTCTGTTGATAACCATTCACCATACTTGTTCTCATAAGTAATAAACCAAACTTTTAGTTTCATATTTAATTTTATCATTTAACTAAGGGGTTAAGTTTAGTGTCATCATTTGGGGTTCAAGTATCTCTATCTGCAATTGAAGCTATAAAAATGAATGCTGAGCACAGAATGAGAGATAAATAGGCTACTCACAGTTTATTTATTTCAAGAACATTTTTAAAAAATACTTTTATTTTCTTTATTGCCAGTTTGTAAAGTTAAGTCCAAGAAAACTGTATTGGATTTAACCAAGTGCCCACAAAATCTGTACAGTGAAGAAAAACTAAGCAAAGAACAAGCTGGATCAGCTTCAGATGTTGGTACAATTTTTCACAGAAAACCCAACGCTGCCATTAAAGTAAAAGATCAAACTAATGCGGTGAATAGTATTAAAAGAATAGAACCACCAGAGCACATTAAAAAAATTTCACAGAACCATTCAGAAATTTTAGACAAAATTATTACAAGTGAAAAAGTATTACCTGGCTTTAGTTCACCAGCTCAGCCAACACCGGAATCTGTTGTAACACAAAAATCATGTAGCGAGGAGCCAATGTTTACAAAACAACAGAGTGTCACTACCAAAACAAGTGAAAGAAAATCTCAAATTTCTGAAAACCAATTAGATAAAGATACGCCTAGACGGATAAAGGTCTGGAGTACAGGTGTCATCATTCAGACAGAAAACCAAATAAAAAATCAGACAGGAAATGTATCCAGCTCAAAACAAACCAAGTCTGACTCTGTGGTCGAGGAAACAGATTCCACAGATTCAAAAACTTGTCAGTCAAAACAAAGCAAGGTTGAATCTCCAGCAGAGAAAAATAATTCAAAGACTAGTCAGTCAACAAACAGAAGAATCACAAACAATAATAGTACATCACATGCTGATGCTACAAACAATAATAGTACATCACATGCTGATGCTACTAATAATAATTCCAAAACTCAGCAGAAGGGAAATAACTCATGCACCAGCCATGACGGAAATGTTGTCAATAGCTCAGTGTTAAGTTCAAGTGAGATTTTTAAAACTTCACCTGTCACCTTATCACCTGTAAATTCTGCTCCATTTTCTCCCAATTTCTCACCACAGACAGTAGCTAGTGTCAGACAGTTTTCTTCAAGTGTTTTCAACCAGAGTGCTGTCCCTTTCTTTGATAGGACCTTCAACACTACGACTTATACAGCTAAAACAACTGTCCAAAAGGGATTCACTACAAACAGAAATGATGAGATTATGTGCGATGATTATGATCTGCAACAAGGGCGTTTGAGAACAAAAATTGAAGCACGGAGGAAATCCAAACCTGTCTCGGATAGCAAAATGGATACTGAAGATTTCCCTGATCTTATGGATGAGGATGATGACATTGATGCAGGTGACACTGGCTTGATGGAAGAAGAAGATGACGCACAATCAGGATCAGAAATGGACAGTGGCGATGAGACACAGGCGTTGGTTAGGAACTTGGACATTCAGAGCATGGACACTGAGCTGTCCAGTTACAGCAGCAGAAAGGAAGAGGTCATGACCTTGGATGAGGACTCTCAGCGTACACCGTTCAACATCTCATGGAATAAAAGTTCAAGGAAGGTCAGCTTTAACAAGGAGAACATACCTAAAATGGAAGACACCCCCACCCACACTGTATATAGAAGCTCTGGTGTCATAAACAGCACAGAGAGAGGTCAAACCTCTAGGGCTTCTGTAGCTAAAGCTTTGAGTGATGCCACACAAAGGGAAGTAAGAGCTGTAAGAAAGAACAATAACCCACCACCTCCTGGCTGTAGAAATGTGATCACTAGAGTTGTTTACCCTGATGGCAGTACAACTTACCAGCACCAGTTTAAGCCATCACCTCTAGCCCAAACACAACCTGAAGTCACACAAGTCAAACAAAGACGACCCCAGTTCTCTTTGTCCTTAGCAACCCAAGTTTTTAAATCTCTGACTGGGGGATCTCTACCAACCCAAGCTCTGCAACCTTCAACCACTGGGACTGTGACTCAAAAGGTTGAGACTCCTACACCACTAGACAAAAACTCCACAAGTAAGAGAACTACAGAAGCTGAACATTTGGATACAAAAAAATTGAAGAAGACTGAGGAGGTTGGTTTTTACATAAAAGCTTTTAAATTTATAAATGTTTTAATATTGATAATTAAGAGATGAACACTTCACTTATTTCCATTTCCAACCATGCTTAATTCATCTGTTGAGGACATTTGTATTTCATTTGTTTTTGTATTAACTCTCTCTCTAACTATTTGAAATAGGGCATATGGACGGACAGACAGACAGATGTAGATGTAGGTAAAATTAAATACTTCGAGAGAGTTAATAGTTCCTGCCTAGCTGTCCGTATCATCTAGCATTTTTAACTAACCCAACAAGACTTATTAACAAATGTGAAACCCCTCAGGTGAAGCAAGAAACTAGAAGCAACACTTTAGACAAGAGGAAACAAAAGAGGAAGACATTGAAGAAAATGTGCCTCATCAAAATAGCACAGATCAAAGATCAAGAGAAAACAGATCCTTCTATGGAGGTGTTCATTACTGAAGGTAACTTGCTAATTGTATGGCTATTGCCCTGATTCCAAGGTACACATTCAAATAACTTCACAGGAAAACTCAATTCTTTAGAATGTTGCTTAAACCACTTATACCTTCATACTTGATAGCAAAAATCACCTAGTTACAATTAGTTTGTATTATAATTGTTAAAATAAATTTAATGACCTTGTATGTAATATTTAAATAAGATAATTTCAAGTTCATTTAATATTAAATACATTTTGAGAGTAAAATTAAGTTATATTTTACATTTTTTGTTGTTGCTATTTTAACTTATTCCTTCAACACTTTTTACTATTTTCCTTACTACTTTCACTTTTTCCTTGCTATTTTCACTTTTTTCCTTTCCATATTTAAAAATGTCCCCATGCCATTTGCCAGAGAGACCCATCGAGTGTGACGGGTGTTTAGAAAAGTTCAGCACATCAGAGATCAGCTGGTGTGAAGATCACCACAGGATATGTTTGGCTTGTGTTAAAGCTGCCATTTTACAGTTCATCAGATCTAAAGAGGTTTGGTTTTCATTTCTGTACAATATATCCATAGTTAAAAGATGTTTGTTTTTTAATTTCTGTAAAATATATCCATAGTTAAAAGATGTTTGTTTTTTAATTTCTGTAGAATATATCCATAGTTAAAAGATGTTTGTTTTTTAATCTCTGTACAATATATCCATAGTCAAAAGATGTTTGTTTTTTAATTTCTGTAGAATATATCCATAGTTAAAAGATGTTTGTTTTTTAATTTCTGTAGAATATATCCATAGTTAAAAGATGTTTGTTTTTTAATCTCTGTACAATATATCCATAGTTAAAAGATGTTTGTTTTTTAATCTCTGTACAATATATCCATAGTCAAAAGATGTTTGTTTTTTAATTTCTGTAGAATATATCCATAGTTAAAAGATGTTTGTTTTTTAATTTCTGTAGAATATATCCATAGTTAAAAGATGTTTGTTTTTTAATCTCTGTACAATATATCCATAGTTAAAAGATGTTTGTTTTTTAATTTCTGTACAATATATCCATAGTCAAAAGATGTTTGTTTTTTTTAATTTCTGTACAATATATCCATAGTTAAAAGATGTTTGTTTTTTAATTTCTATTGAATATATCCATTCAATCAAAAGAGGTTGTTTTTTTCTAAATTCTGTTGAATATAACTATCAGTCAAAAGATGATTGTCTTACTTTCTGTTTAATATATATCCATAGTCAAAAGAGGTCTGTTTTTACTTTTTGTGGAATATAACTTTCTGTCAAAAGAGCAGGTTTTTTTTTTTTAGGTTTTCTGTTGAAGGTGACAGTTCAGCTGTTTCAGTGATTACTATTTTAATTTGGCTATAGATTTTACAGTAAATTGAAATGTGTATAACAAAGTATTAAAATGTTGGTGAGCTGTCACTTGATACACTGATACTAAGTTGAGCTCACGTAACCACAAATAATTTGTTCCTTCAAACTTTGGGAGGAAAACTTTCAAGCAAAAAAAAAAACTTTTCAAATCTTGGGGTGAACCAGAGATGGCCATCAATATTTCAGAGCTGGGTAGACCCATGAATGAAAGATGGCCAACAATATAACAGAGCTGTGTAGACCCATGAATGACCCATCAATTAATGAGAACACTAATTAGCCTGGCCATCTTTGACATAAAAAAATAAAGTACTGACCTCTCTGTTGTTAAACTGATTACCCCTCCTGTTTGCGTATTTAAAAATGACCTGATTTATCTGATAAATTGTGTTGTATAACTTCCAGACTAGGTTGGTGTGTTGCAGTGAAATGTGTGAGAACTCCATTGGTCTAGGTTTGTATTTCATACATTCTGTGACATTATACACATTTCTACACATTTTTCTACACATTTTTCTACACATATCTTAAACTCACATTTCACCTCTCATTACCTGGAAGATTTAAAACAATTGTAATTGCTGAAATTTACCTGTAATTCTCTTCAAGGTTCTGTTATACAAATCACGCTCCTAGGCCTCACAATTGTGAATTTAACCTATTGTGGGTTTAACCTATTGTGGGTTTAACCTATTGTGGGTTTAACCTATTGTGGGTTTAACCTATTGTGGGTTTAAAGTATTGTGGGTTAACCTATTGTGAGTTTAACCTATTGTGGGTTTAACGTATTGTGGGTTTAACCTATTGTGGGTTTAACCTATTGTGGGTTTAACCTATTGTGGGTTTAACCTATTGTGGGTTTAAAGTATTGTGGGTTTAACCTATTGTGGGTTTAAAGTATTGTGGGTTTAACCTATTGTGAGTTTAACCTATTGTGGGTTTAACGTATTGTGGGTTTAACCTATTGTGAGTTTAACCTATTGTGGGTTTAACCCATTGTGGGTTTAACCTATTGTGGGTTGTAAATGACTGCCCTTGTCATATTAAGTGGCCTGGTGTTATGGGCCTTGGTATATGTTCCATCTACTCAGAATGTGGGCACAAAAACACATTTACATTGAACTCAAATAACACACAATCTAGACTGTTAATTATTAAATATAACTTAACTGTTCAAACAAATAAAAATGACACCACAAAACTTAACTGACGTTTAAAATATAACTTAACTGTTCAAAAAAATAAAAATGTCACCACGAAACTTAACTGATGCTTAAAATATAATTCAACTGTTCTAATAAATAAAAATGTCACCACATAACTTAACTGATGCTTAAAATATAATTTAACTGTTCAAATAAATAAAAATGACATTACAAAATTTAACTGATGTTCAAAATATAATGTAACAGCTCAAATCAACCCTCAAGTGGACAGAAGCTTGTATGAGCTGCTGAAACACAAATTGGAAAAACGTCTGGCTAAAGCTGAAAAACAAATGATCGTAAATCTTTTTGAGAAACTTTTGTAAGTGCTAGACCACATGATCGTAAATCTTTTTGAGAAACTTTTGTAAGTGCTAGACCACATGATCGTAAATCTTTATGAGAAACTTTTGTAAGTGCTAGACCACATGATCGTAACTGTTTTTTGAGAAACTTTTGTAAGTGCTAGACCATACGATCGTAAATCTTTTTGAGAAACTTTTGTAAGTGCTAGACCACATGATCATAAATCTTTTTGAGAAATTTTTGTAAGTGCTAGACCATATGATCATAAATCTTTTTGAGAAACTTTTGTAAGTGCTAGACCACATGATCATAAATCTTTTTGAGAAATTTTTGTAAGTGCTAGACCACATGATCATAAATCTTTTTGAGAAATTTTTGTAAGTGCTAGGCTGGCTATAGGTTTGTCTACTTAATTCAGGGGTATATTTTAATTTTAAGGGCTTTGTCTTAAATTGAAAAATTTTGACAGAGGTTCTTGGTAGATAAGCAAATTAAAAATGAGGTTGCCATTAATATTAGGCCATATTAATTATTGATCAGTAAATAATAATGAAATAATGTCTCTAAATTTAAAAACAAAATATTTTGGAACTATATTTATAATAAAATATTGTGTTCATGTTGATTAGCTATGTTAGTTCATACTGATTGTTAGTTTATACTGATTTTAGTTTATATTGATTGTTAGTTCATACTGATTGTTAGTTAATACTGATTGATAGTTCACACTGATTGTTTTGTTTGTTCAGGTGTACACACTGCAAGTTGGAAATCTTGCAACCTAAAGATGAGATTTTTTTTCAATGTTCACACTGCAAGCAGGTAATTCTCAATTATTTTTTTTAATACGCAAAATTGTATGAGGATTAGTATAATAATTTCCCATTATTTAAGGAAATACTATTTTCTCTTTTGAAAAATTTTCCGCCACATTTTGATGAGTGAAATTATTTCTAAAACTTACATTTCAGTTTTTATATACTGTTAGATTTTCTTGAAATTTTTAATTTCGACTATTCAGTGATGATGTTGTTTAGTGGACTATTCATTGATGATGTTGTTGGGTGGACTATTTAGTGATGTTTGGTGAACTATTTAGTGATGATGTTTTTTGGTGAACTATTTATGTGGATGTTGTTTGGTGAACTATTCAGTGATGATGTTGTTTGGTGAATTGTTCATTGATGATGTTTTTTGGTGAACTATTCATTAATGATGTTGTTTGATAAACTATTTATGATGATGTTTATCCCAGCAAACTGAGTTGTGTAAAATCTGCCACAGACCTAAAGGTGTGCCAGACAAACACGTTGAGTGTAAAGTCCTGCAGTACGCAGGTAGTCACTGCTTCACTGATCTTCATTCCTTCCCTGATAACTGGGAGAGGGTCAACACTCTCTCAGAAACTGATGAGGTAGGATTGTAATTATTTTATTTGGCTAATTAGAGGATGTTAAGAATAATGTAAGTTCAGAGTATTAGATTAAAGACAGTTTAAAATATTGTCAAACAATTGCCTAAGTCAGGGGTCGGCAACCTTTTGAAGCGGAAGAGCCAAAAGTTACAATTTTCAAAATTTCCCTGGTTTTAAAGAGCCACTAACATTTTTTTATTTCAAATATTTTATTTTTTATTAAGATTATTAGTATTTGTGCAAGGAGCTAAAGGGCCGCATCTTGATATCAAAAGAGCTGCATGCGGCTCGCGAGCCGCAGGTTGCCGACCCCTGGCCTAAGTGACTTTTATAAATATTGAGTTAATATTTGAAATGTATTGTTCTCGCATTCTACAAGTATCATTTTTTGCTATCTGTGGCCAAGGGACCTGACATTTTTCATCTAATGTATTATGTCACATCATGTCATCATATCATGTCATGCTGTCATGTCATGTCATATTGTCATGTCATGTCATCATGTCATGACCTCATGTTATGGTTGATCATGTCATGTCATCATGTCATGCCGTCATGTCATGCCATCATATCATGTCATCATGTCATCATGTCATGTCATCATGTCATATCATGTCATGTCATCATGTCATGTCATCATGTCATGTCATCATGTCATGTCACCATGTTATGTTTGATCATGTCATGTCATCATGTCATGTCATCATGTCATGTCATCATGTCATGTCATCATGTCATGTCATCATGTCATGTCATCATGTCATGTCATCATGTCATGTCATCATGTTATGTTTGGTCATGTCATCATGTCATGACCTCATGTTATGTTCGTTCATGGCATCATGTCATGTCTCCACAGCCCTTTGACTCCCTGTGTAGTGTTGAGTTGTCCAGTAATGAAGGGAAGGCAGTGGTCAACATGTTCTCTAGAACAATAGGCAGCAACACACAGGTCAAGTCCATCATGAGAATACAGAAAACAAAACAGTGGCAGAAATATTGTCTGTGAGTAGAAAATTTATTGGAAATTTCTATCTGAAAACACATTTAAGTAATAAAAATTATGTTTATTTCTTTGTCCCTTTTTTACTTTCTCGTATATACGTAGTATAGAGAAAGTATTGTAATCGTGCAAAAAAAAAAAATCGAGATTTTTAGAAATCTCGACGTTTTACACCTCACTGATACGGAAAAACATAATTTTGCAATCTGGTCCGTATGTCTGTGTGTGTGTGTGTGTGTGTGTGTGTGTCTGTGTGTCTGTCTGTGTGTAAACACGATTACTTGAGTACCATTACAGCTAGGTTGATGAAATTTCATATATAAGTATTATATCAAAATCGTAGATCCGTATCAACTTTTGAGCGATTTCCGATAACCGGAAGTGGTACTTTTTCTACTTTGAATTTTTCAAAAGCCTATAACTTGAGTACTATTTCAGATAGATAAATGAAATTTCACATGTAAGTAAAAGATCTAATTCTCTACCTTCTATCAAATTTTGAGTAATTTCCGTTGACCGGAAGTACTAATTTACGCTATTTCCGATTTCTCAAAAAACGCATGTAAATTTATAAAGTACTAATAATATTGCGCACTATTATGCACATTTGGTTTTGGTGCTCGCTTGGTGCGCAATTTTTTTTTCTACTAGATTTTCTACTATTTTTAAAAGTTTAAGTAAACAAAAATCATGTCTATATTCCAAGTTGACATCCCACGTAGTGTTATATTAGAATTTTCGAGAAAGTTTAGGGGAGATCACTCCCGGTTTATTTTGGCTCATTACTTTAATTCTTAAGTTTAGTTGTAGCCCTTTGATTTGTAATTTGTTTATTCTGAGTTTTTCATTTCAAACAGGAAGAGGAAACACATGGTGGAGGAGATAGGGCTTGACAAGATCAAAGAACGAGCACTCTTCCATGGAACCAAGAAAGAAAATATTGATTTGATTTGTCAAGAAGGTTTTGATATGAGAGTCAAAACTGCCAATGGTGCTTTATATGGGAAAGGTATTTTTTTATGGTGCTTTATATGGGAAAGATTTTTTTTTATCCATTATAACTGAAATGGTAACTTGATCCTAACTTGCCTTAAACCTGATGGCACCAGTAGTGCAAAGGGTGACAACCACTTTGTTTCAACTAACTCAGTTCTGGGCATCTCTCGTCAGTTTGGCCCACCTAAGTCCCAAAACTCTTGCTTTACTTTCTCTGGCACTTCTCCGGGATTGTCTTGCTCTGCCTATCTTCTTACATCCCTCCAGTCTAGAGCCCACTTACCACTACAGAATATTTGGCCCCACTGCTATTTTACCTGAGAAATAAGGTTAAATTTCTTCTTTATTTGTAAACTACTATTTGAAGGTAAAGTAATTTATATTATTTATTTACACTAGTCAAACTAAGGTAAAACCACAATAAATATAAAACTGATATTTAAAAAATTCCAGGAATTTACTTCAGCCCCCAGTCGAACTACTCCAAGAAATACGCAGCAGACTGCAGCCAGATGTTTATAGCCCGGGTCTTGTGTGGGTATTCAACCCGGGGCAGCTCAGACATGACCCGCCCACCCAAGCACAGCTCAGGCCGTATGTATGACACGTGTGTGGACAACGTGGACCGGCCAGGTATATTCAGTGTCTTCGACAACGCCCAGTGTTACCCTGCCTATATTATAGAATACAGTTAACGAGGGTTTTATATTGTAAGTAATTAATTTACAAATACTTGATTCCATTAGAAGTAGACATGAAATTTTTTCTAATGTTTGTTGTGCTAAGAAATTTATTTGATTAGTTGTTGCATTGCACTTATTATTTTTTTCTAGCTAATCTTTCACTTTTAATTAACATTTTATTATTGATGAATATAATTATAAACATGTCCAACAAGTTGATGATATTACTTGTTCTCTGTTTACTTTTACACTACAAATATTAGGTTTACAGATATAAATAACTTAAATTTTTTTCAAGCGTAAGTTTTTCAGCTTTAGTATTGTGATAAAATGTAAGGTGTATTATTTATAGAGAAAACTACAACTTTTGGGGTAAACCAAAATAAAGAAATGTTTTAGACCACTGGTTCAAGCTAATTCAAGTTATATTGTGTAACTGCATAACATGGTAAAACAAATGTGTATATTTAGAAGCTGTTATATTTGTTATTTACATATTTATATGTTTTACATGTATTATACCTATACAATTTTGTGATTTTTAAAAAAACAAGTATTGGATTACCTAACCAATGTTTAATATACATTAATAAAAACTTAAATTTTTGTTACACATTTCTCTTGTTATCTGAGAGACTGTATTGCGTTATATTGTGTAGTTATGTTTGTTGTAGTTATAGTGGAATATTTTCCAAATGTGATTTGTCATCTAAATTTAATGTGTTTTTTTGTATATGTTAACATGACTTATTTGAGGGGGGTGGGGGAAGGAGAGTTTGTAAGCTAACTAGAATAATTACTACACTCTTGGGCTCTTCCAACGAGTTCTAATATCTAAGTGACGGTTTTCAGGTTTGACAACTCTGTAAGTAAGCAACGGTTTTAAATGCAGAGTTAGTTCCCTTAGACCAAAATAGAATTGTTCTATCACCTTTCACATCGTAGAAGATACGAGGTGGTTTTTGTGCCGCTTATTTTGTAAATTCAATTTCTTTTTTTTTTATTTCAGTTTTTTGCAGATTATACATTTTCACTTGAGTAAATGAGTAATTTTTACTTTCTCGTATATACGTAGTATAGAGAAAGTATTGTAATCGTGCAAAAAAAAAATCGAGATTTTTACAAATCTCGACGTTTTACACCTCACTGATACGGAAAAACATAATTTTGCAATCTTGTCCGTATGTCTGTGTGTGTGTGTGTGTGTGTGTAAACACGATAACTTGAGTACCGTTACAGCTAGGTTGATGAAATTTCATAGATAAGTATTTTATCAAAATCGTAGATCCGTATCAACTTTTGAGCGATTTCCGATAACCGGAAGTGGTACTTTTTCTACTTTGAATTTTTCAAAAGCCTATAACTTGAGTACTATTTCAGATAGAGGAATGAAATTTCACCTGTAAGTAAAAGATCTAATTCTCTACCTTCTGTTAAATTTTGAGTAATTTCCGTTGACGGGAAGTACTAATTTACGCTATTTCCGATTTCTCAAAAACACATCTAAATTTATAAAGTACTAATAATATTGCGCACCATTATGAACATCTTTATTCGGCGTTCGCTTGGTGCGCAATACTTTTTTCTATGAGATTCTATTCTATTTTAAAAACTTTAAGTATTTAAAATGGATTAAAAATCATAACTAGATCTATATCCCGAGTTCCCATCCCCTGTTGTTTTATATAAGAATATTCGAGAAAGCTTAGGGGATATCACTCCCAGTTTATTTTATATTAAAATCTATGCTCATTTACTCCGGATCCAAGAATTTTTTACAAGAACATTTCCCAACCTAATGGTCAGTTGAGGAATTTATTGAAGGTACAGCTGACGATGCTAGCAGTTACTTCCAGGCATCTCTTCTCTTCCCCCCCCCCCCCCCCCCCCCCCCCGGAGAAAAAAGTCTGGAAGAAACACTGGATGCTAGTATGGGTATTTAAAGGAGTTGACGCCATTTATGTACATTCTGACCCCGCTCCGCCAAGCAAGAACAAAATAACAAACAAGACGTTTTACTGTGACTAGTATATATTTTTTTATTTATTCCCTAGCGTAGTGATTTCAAGCTTTGACTTTATTTCCTGACGGGGTGGTCGTTTCTCTAGTTATGGAGAGCTCCAGTGCCCTTGTCAATATGATAGATGGTCTAGAGTTGTCGTCCTTGTTATGATGGATTCATTCGGTGGCCGTTTCTTGTTCTAGTCTACTAAATCCTGTCAACATTTCGTATTTTGGTTAAATTACATTACAATAAGATTGTCAGCAAATTTTTTAAATTTTCAAATGTCAACATTATTATTGTTGACATTACACGCAGAATATTTAGTAGGAAGCTCGAAAACTGGTTAGCTAAATGGCCCCGCCAAAATAAATCCCGTCATATAGGCTCCCGACAAAACGACTCCCGACGAATTCTCTTCTTCCCCCCTCCCCCCCCCGTCATTTAGGCTCCCGTCAAATAGGATTCCGTCAAATAGGCTTCCATCAATTAGACTCATGGCATTACGACTCCCAACAAATAGGCTTCCGTCATATTAGGCTCCCGACAAAAAGGCCCATTTCAATACGATTTGTTTACGAACTGCTGTTAGTTCTTGAAACATTATTTTCATTCAGGCATTTAAAAGAGGTTATTGTGGTAGTAGAGGTAGGACAAATTTGTTACTTTTATGCCAATAGTGGTCATACGATTCATTTGTCTGGAGCAAATATGTCGGAAGTCATTTTGCCGGGAGCCAATATGTTGGGAGCCCATTTGTTGGGAGCAATTTTTCGGGGGCCCATTTGTCAAAACACACAAAAATAACATTGCAAAAGGCTTGCGTAGTATTCTGATTTATCCGGCGATGGGAGTGGGGGGGGGGGGGGGGGGTATAAATCGGTCTATGGTGCGTGACGTCACCTATGGACGAGCAGTTATAAGATCGCCTATGGCATGAACAGTTTACTCACCTTCTGTGTAGAGCAGTTATAAGATCCCTATGGCATGAACAGTTTACTCACCTTCTGTGTAGAGCAGTTATAAGATCCCCTATGGCATGAATAGTTTACTCACCTTCCGGGTAGATTTCCTGGTCGCAGTGTAGCCCAGTCCAAGATGGCTGACAGTTGCAGTAGGACCCGTCTGATGTGACGTCACATGTCCCGTGTACACAGGGCGACGAGCAGGGCTGTGTACAGTACACACCGGCCCATCCAGGCTCGCACTCGCAGGTCAAGGCGGCAATACAGAAGTCGATGTCCGGGCAGCTAGAGGGTGGACGAGGACAAAATCAGTTTTTTACAGGATTGAAACGCTGGATCCAGATTGGTGTTGCCAGAAAACATATTTTTCAACCAAAACTAAATATTTTATAACATTTGTGAAATAACTACAAATATTTGAACTGAAAAAATTAATAATTCTAAACGGCTTTTATTAAAAAATATGAATTGAGAGTAATCGATTGTTCCCAAACAACTTTAATTTTTTTAAATGAAACTATAATTTTATCGCTTGCCTTAATTTTTGAAAGAATTTAACTTTATAAAGAATGAATACTTAGGGTTTTCAAGCCTATACAACAGTAAGGAAGGTTCAAAACGTTTTTTTGTCAGGATGGTTCAATGACAATATGAAGTGTCAGGTATTTGGTGGCTACAGGTCAGTTAGAGTACTTGGTGGCTACAGGTCAGAGTACTTGGTGGCTACAGGTCAGTTAGAGTACTTGGTGGCTACAGGTCAGTTAGAGTACTTGGTGGCTACAGGTCAGCTAGAGTACTTGGTGGCTACAGGTCAGTTAGAGTACTTGGTGGCTACAGGTCAGTTAGAGTACTTGGTGGCTACAGGTCAGAGTACTTGGTGGCTACAGGTCAGAGTACTTGGTGGCTACAGGTCAGTTAGAGTACTTGGTGGCTACAGGTCAGCTAGAGTACTTGGTGGCTACAGGTCAGCTAGAGTACTTGGTGGCTACAGGTCAGCTAGAGTACTTGGTGGCTACAGGTCAGATAGAGTACTTGGTGGCTACAGGTCAGTTAGAGTACTTGGTGGCTACAGGTCAGTTAGAGTACTTGGTGGCTACAGGTCAGTTAGAGTACTTGGTGGATACAGGTCAGAGTACTTGGTGGCTACAGGTCAGAGTACTTGGTGGCTACAGGTCAGTTAGAGTACTTGGTGGCTACAGGTCAGCTAGAGTTCTTGGTGGCTACAGGTCAGTTAGAGTACTTGGTGGCTACAGGTCAGAGTACTTGGTGGCTACAGGTCAGAGTACTTGGTGGCTACAGGTCAGTTAGAGTACTTGGTGGCTACAGGTCAGCTAGAGTACTTGGTGGCTACAGGTCAGCTAGAGTACTTGGTGGCCACAGGTCAGCTAGAGTACTTGGTGGCTACAGGTCAGATAGAGTACTTGGTGGCTACAGGTCAGTTAGAGTACTTGGTGGCTACAGGTCAGCTAGAGTTCTTGGTGGATACAGGTCAGTTAGAGTACTTGGTGGCTACAGGTCAGCTAGAGTACTTGGTGGCTACAGGTCAGTTAGAGTACTTGGTGGCTACAGGTCAGAGTACTTGGTGGCTACAGGTCAGTTAGAGTACTTGGTGGCTACAGGTCAGTTAGGGTACTTGGTGGCTACAGGTCAGTTAGAGTACTTGGTGGCTACAGGTCAGTTAGAGTACTTGGTGGCTACAGGTCAGTTAGAGTACTTGGTGGCTACAGGTCAGAGTACTTGGTGGCTACAGGTCAGTTAGAGTACTTGGTGGCTACAGGTCAGAGTACTTGGTTGCTACAGGTCAGAGTACTTGGTGGCTACAGGTCAGAGTACTTGGTGGCTACAGGTCAGTTAGAGTACTTGGTGGCTACAGGTCAGTTAGAGTACTTGGTGGCTACAGGTCAGTTAAAGTACTTGGTGGCTACAGGTCAGTTAGAGTACTTGGTGGCTACAGGTCAGTTAGAGTACTTGGTGGCTACAGGTCAGTTAGAGTACTTGGTGGCTACAGGTCAGTTAGAGTACTTGGTGGCTACAGGTCAGAGTACTTGGTGGCTACAGGTCAGCTAGAGTACTTGGTGGCTACAGGTCAGAGTACTTGGTGGCTACAGGTCAGAGTACTTGGTGGCTACAGGTCAGAGTACTTGGTGGCTACAGGTCAGAGTACTTGGTGGCTACAGGTCAGAGTACTTGGTGGCTTCAGGTCAGTTAGAGTACTTGGTGGCTACAGGTCAGAGTACTTGGTGGCTACAGGTCAGTTAGAGTACTTGGTGGCTACAGGTCAGTTAGAGTACTTGGTGGCTACAGGTCAGCTAGAGTACTTGGTGGCTACACGTCAGTCAGAGTACTTGGTGGCTACAGGTCAGTTAGAGTACTTGGTGGCTACAGGTCAGTTAGAGTACTTGGTGGCTACAGGTCAGAGTACTTGGTGGCTACAGGTCAGAGTACTTGGTGGCTACAGGTCAGAGTACTTGGTGGCTACAGGTCAGTTAGAGTACTTGGTGGCTACAGGTCAGTTAGAGTACTTGGTGGCTACAGGTCAGAGTACTTGGTGGCTACAGGTCAGTCAGAGTACTTGGTGGCTACAGGTCAGAGTACTTGGTGGCTACAGGTCAGTTAGAGTACTTGGTGGCTACAGGTCAGCTAGAGTACTTGGTGGCTACAGGTCAGTTAGAGTACTTGGTGGCTACAGGTCAGTTAGAGTACTTGGTGGCTACAGGTCAGTTAGAGTACTTGGTGGCTACAGGTCAGTTAGAGTACTTGGTGGCTACAGGTCAGTTAGAGTACTTGGTGGCTACAGGTCAGCTAGAGTACTTGGTGGCTACAGGTCAGTTAGAGTACTTGGTGGCTACAGGTCAGTTAGAGTACTTGGTGGCTACAGGTCAGAGTACTTGGTGGCTACAGGTCAGCTAGAGTACTTGGTGGCTACAGGTCAGAGTACTTGGTGGCTACAGGTCAGTTAGAGTACTTGGTGGCTACAGGTCAGAGTACTTGGTGGCTACAGGTCAGTTAGAGTACTTGGTGGCTACAGGTCAGCTAGAGTACTTGGTGGCTACAGGTCAGTTAGAGTACTTGGTGGCTACAGGTCAGTTAGAGTACTTGGTGGCTACAGGTCAGTTAGGGTACTTGGTGGCTACAGGTCAGTTAGAGTACTTGGTGGCTACAGGTCAGTTAGAGTACTTGGTGGCTACAGGTCAGTTAGAGTACTTGGTGGCTACAGGTCAGAGTACTTGGTGGCTACAGGTCAGTTAGAGTACTTGGTGGCTACAGGTCAGAGTACTTGGTTGCTACAGGTCAGAGTACTTGGTGGCTACAGGTCAGAGTACTTGGTGGCTACAGGTCAGTTAGAGTACTTGGTGGCTACAGGTCAGTTAGAGTACTTGGTGGCTACAGGTCAGTTAAAGTACTTGGTGGCTACAGGTCAGTTAGAGTACTTGGTGGCTACAGGTCAGTTAGAGTACTTGGTGGCTACAGGTCAGTTAGAGTACTTGGTGGCTACAGGTCAGTTAGAGTACTTGGTAGCTACAGGTCAGTTAGAGTACTTGGTGGCTACAGGTCAGTTAGAGTAGTTGGTGGCTACAGGTCAGTTAGAGTACTTGGTGCTACAGGTTAGAGTACTTGGTGGCTACAGGTCAGTTAGAGTACTAGGTGGCTACAGGTCAGTTAGAGTACTTGGTGGCTACAGGTCAGTTAGAGTACTTGGTGGCTACAGGTCAGCTAGAGTACTTGGTGGCTACAGGTCAGTTAGAGTACTTGGTGGCTACAGGTCAGTTAGAGTACTTGGTGGCTACAGTTCAGTTAGAGTACTTGGTGGCTACAGGTCAGTTAGAGTACTTGGTGTCTACAGGTCAGAGTACTTGGTGTCTACAGGTCAGTTAGAGTACTTGGTGGCTACAGGTCAGTTAGAGTACTTGGTGGCTACAGGTCAGTTAGAGTACTTGGTGGCTACAGGTCAGTTAGAGTACTTGGTGGCTACAGGTCAGTTAGAGTACTTGGTGGCTACAGGTCAGAGTACTTGGTGGCTACAGGTCAGAGTACTTGGTGTCTACAGGTCAGAGTACTTGGTGTCTACAGGTCAGTTAGAGTACTTGGTGGCTACAGGTCAGTTAGAGTACTTGGTGGCTACAGGTCAGTTAGAGTACTTGGTGGCTACAGGTCAGAGTACTTGGTGGCTACAGGTCAGAGTACTTGGTGGCTACAGGTCAGTTAGAGTACTTGGTGGCTACAGGTCAGTTAGAGTACTTGGTGGCTACAGGTCAGTTAGAGTACTTGGTGGCTACAGGTCAGTTAGAGTACTTGATGGCTACAGGTCAGTTAGAGTACTTGGTGGCTACAGGTCAGTTAGAGTACTTGATGGCTACAGGTCAGTTAGAGTACTTGGTGGCTACATGTCAGAGTACTTGGTGCTACAGGTCAGTTAGAGTACTTGGTGCTACAGGTCAGTTAGAGTACTTGGTGGCTACATGTCAGCTAGAGTACTTGGTGGCTACACGTCAGTTAGAGTACTTGGTGGCTACAGGTCAACTAGAGTACTTGGTGGCTACAGGTCAGTTAGAGTACTTGGTGGCTACAGGTCAGTTAGAGTACTTGGTGGCTACAGGTCAGTTAGAGTACTTGGTGGCTACAGGTCAGTTAGAGTACTTGGTGGCTACAGGTCAGTTAAAGTACTTGGTGGCTACAGGTCAGTTAGAGTACTTGATGGCTACAGGTCAGTTAGAGTACTTGGTGGCTACAGTTCAGTTAGAGTACTTGGTGGCTACAGGTCTAGATGTGGACTATTCTATCAAAAGAATCTAGATTCTCAAGATTTCTAGAGTATCCTATCTAGACTCTCCTCTCATACAATGTACGTGCTGGTAGAAAATATAAGGCGCTATTGTCTTACAAGTGTGTAACCTGAATTAAAAAATGCAAATTAGATGGTTTAAATTAAATCCTGGATTATCGATTTTACTGCTCTGAACTATGTGTAGGGCCTTATATATATATATATATATATATATATATATATATATATATATATATATATATATATATATATATATATATATATATATATATATATATGTAAGTATGTACGTATATACATATTCACATAGATATATTTTTATATAATGTATATTTTTAGTGACCCAAGATGTGGTCGACTTACTTTAGATCTTCTTTGTTCAGGCAGTGCCATTCATCAGGGATATTACCTAGAGAAAAAAAAAACATGTACAAACTGACACTAAGTAAAACATTCTTGAATCTTAAGAGGAAACTTTAATAGATTGCCGAAGTTAATCTTTGATTCTTAATTAGCAGCACGTTTAAGTTGTAAGGTCAGGCGTTGATGGAGTCAAAGTTTAAACTATGACGTCATGTCTACCTGGTGTCAAAGTTTAAACTATGACGTCATGTCTACCTTGTGTCAAAGTTTAAACTATGACGTCATGTCTACCTGATGTCAAAGTTTAAACTATGACGTCATGTCTACCTGATGTCGACGCTGGACTTGTGCTAAAGTTTTCCGTCTCTTCAAACGTGCGGCCGGCAATTTCCGGCTGAAGGTCAACTGAGTCGTCAACTTCAGACAGACGGTCAAGTGTGTGGTCAACTTCAGGCAAACGGTCAACTGTGTGGTCAACTTCAGGCAGACGGTCAACTTTTTCGTCAACTTCAGGCAGACGGTCAACTGTGTCGGCAACTTCAGGCAAACGGTCAAGTGTGTGGTCAACTTCAGGCAGACGGTCAACTTTTTCGGCAACTTCAGACAGACGGTCAAGTGTGTCGGAAACTTCAGACAGACGGTCAACTTTGCCGTCAACTTCAGGCAGACGGTCAACTTCAGGCAAACGGTCAACTTTGCCGTCAACTTCAGGCAGACGGTCAACTTCAGGCAGACGGTCAACTTCAGACAGACGGTCAAGTGTGTCGGCAACTTCAGGCAAACGGTCAAGGGTGTAGGCAAAGATCTCTCTTGTTAAACACAGGGTAGCCAACAGACTGAGGAGGGCCTTCATCGTTACTGGGGGCTGGGGATACAAGACAAGACAGGTTATTGACTGGTTAGATCAGGACAAGACAGGTTATTGACTGGTTAGATCAGGACAAGACAGGTTATTGACTGGTTAGATCAGGACAAGACAGGTTATTGACTGGTTAGATCAGGACAAGACAGGTTATTGACTGGTTAGATCAGGACAAGACAGGTTATTGACTGGTTAGATCAGGACAAGACAGGTTATTGACTGGTTAGATCAGGACAAGACAGGTTATTGTCTGGTTAGATCAGGACAAGACAGGTTATTGACTGGTTAGATCAAGACAAGACAGGTTATTGACTGGTTAGATTGATACAAGACAGGTTATTGACTGGTTAGATCAAGACAAGACAGGTTATTGTCTGGTTAGATCAGGACAAGACAGGTTATTGACTGGTTAGATCAAGACAAGACAGGTTATTGACTGGTTAGATCAGGACAAGACAGGTTATCGACTGATTAGATCAAGAGAAGTTATAGACTGGTTAGATTGATACAAGACAGGTTATAGACCGGTTAGATCAGAACAAGACAGGTTGTTGACTGGTAAGATTGATCTATCGTCTGTACATGTATATTAAAATATCTTTATGAAGCGGAATCATGCACCGCTTCTCTACAATCTGAATATCGGACAAAGAGCAATATCGGACAAAGAGCAATTCGCCGTAGTGTAGGCTTTAGCCAAGCTGCAGATGTGTGATAGATGATCTTTGTTGAGTAAAGTGGAAGGAAATGTGTAGACGTGTGATAGATGATCTTTGTTGAGTAAAGTGAAAGGAAATGTGTAGACGTGTGATAGATGATCTTTGTTGAGTAAAGTGGAAAGAAATGTGTAGACGTGTGATAGATGATCTTTGTTGAGTAAAGTGGAAGGAAATGTGTAGACGTGTGATAGATGATCTTTGTTGAGTAAAGTGAAAGGAAATGTGTAGACGTGTGATAGATGATCTTTGTTGAGTAAAGTGAAAGGAAATGTGTAGACGTGTGATAGATGATCTTTGTTGAGTAAAGTGAAAGGTAATATGTAGACGTGTGATAGATGATCTTTGTTGAGTAAAGTGAAAGGAAATGTGTAGACGTGTGATAGATGATCTTTGTTGAGTAAAGTGAAAGGAAATGTGTAGACGTGTGATAGATGATCTTTGTTGAGTAAAGTGGAAGGAAATGTGTAGACGTGTGATAGATGATCTTTGTTGAGTAAAGTGGAAGGAAATGTGTAGACGTGAATCTATGCTATGACTCGGCTCAGCACTGACGGGAAAAGTCTATGATAGAAATAGATGAACTCTACTTTACCTTTAAACTATGGTCACAGAAACACTTGAGCTCTTTTTTTTTTACCTAACTGAGACCCTCTACTATATTAAATTTTAACTGCTACTATTTAAAGAAACAACGTAATTTCTACCTGTAGTGATGATATTTGAGAAAGTGATGAAAGTCGTTAAACGGAGCTCTTGATGGTCCGCGTTCCTTCATCCCATGTTTATATACCATTCGCGGCTGACTCGGCTGAATGAGAATAGATGAGTAAATAAAGATAAATGTTGGAGACGTGTGCAAGCACTTTCTCTCCTTAACTGGTGTCAAGTGGGTTTTCAATATAAAGTCATGAGTGTCGAGATTATGTTGAAATGTTGGTATTATGACGTCAACTAAAGTATGTTATTATGTAATATGTTGTTGGCGTTGATCGTCTTCTCGTAAAAGCGGATACAACGGACGGCGTGGTTGGATGGTAGAGCGCAGGACCGCTAAAGTCTCGAGTTCGCATCCCGGACTTGATTCTGTACGACGTCCTTGAGTCCACTCAGCTCTAATAAGTACCTGAATGATGCGAGGGACAGAAAAGTCGACTGGAGATATAAATAATCACACTATGCGGAGGCCACAAAAACAGATGAACTCTACTCTATCTACCATACTCACCGCCAGGTCTGAACGTGTACTGTTGTTAATTTTTAAACGAATACTGAACAAAATATCCCGCGACATGCCAATCAGTACACAGCGATTAATTAATGAACTCTTCTAGAATACATGTTGGAGAGTTCAGTAGTTTACAAAACGCCTGCCAACTACCCCAGCCAGGCTTGTGTTGATGGCATTTTAGCAGCATAATGATCGGGTAGCGCCGTAAGGATGGCACGTGGGGCGGGCTGTCCCACCCCCACCCCCCCCCCCCCCCCCTTCATTCCAATATCAACAATGTAAGCTTAGCGTTAGGAACCTATTCACACTAGATATGACTTATACCATGTGTACAATTTGTGTACAACATTTATTGGAACAGTTGTAAAGTATGTGTACATTTATTGAAACAGTTGTACATTATGTGTACAGCATTTATTGGAACAGTTATACTTGTGTACACCATTTATTATTGCACCTAACAGTCATCCAGCTTTTGCCCTTAATAAATTATAAACATTATCGTTTTATAAATGTTCAGCATGTCTACATCCAGTGGCGTAGGCAGGGGGGGTTAGGGGGGTCATAACCCCCCCCCCCCATAGACCCCTCGGTATATAGAAAAAGTATGAGGGGGGTGCAAATCGAAAGTTTGAGGGGGGGGGGTGCAAATCGAAAGTTTGTCCCCGGGTAAAAATTGGAACCCCCCCCCCCCTTGGGACGATCATGGCTACGCCACTGTCTACATCAGACATGTATACAGACAACAGACTCTATTTGAACAGATAAACCACAATCATAACAAAAACCACAACATATAAGGCGCTAGTTACACAACTAATATCACCCCCCCCCCCACACACACACACAAACACACAAACACACACAAACACACACTTTGAAGACTCTTCAAGCTCGCCAAATTTCCTTAACGAGCAAGTCAGCTCTCCTTTTGTGAAAACTTAGACAACATCCGGGCCATTGACATCTGCAAAAAGACACAGGACACAGAGTATCAGCCAATCAAAACCAATTTTACAAAGTGTTGTCTCATCTCTCTAGATGTGACGTCATCAATTGCTCACGTGACGTCATCAGTCTATTATTTGTTGTGGTTTGATACGTCAGATGTTGATATGTTGGGTATGTTGACATGATTCTATCTGGACGGAGCTTAAGACTAGCAGTACAACAGTGGGGAGATAATTAGATATCAGCTGTCAAATTTGGCTGTCATTGAAAGTTGTCCATGGGTTAAACTGCTGACAGTGTGAGTGCTAATGTACGTGCTTGCGTGCTCACACTGGTCACCTTGTGAGGGGTCAGCTGACAGTGGGCAGGGTGAGAGTTGAGGAGAGAGTTTATGACCTCAGCACTGACCTCGTGATGCACGTGCTGAGAATGATAGACTCTCAGCTCACTCGCACACACTAGGTGCTGGCGTCTGCTCACGTGCACACTAGGTGCTGGCGTCTGGTCACGTGCACATACACTCACGCAGACTCATATATACATACACATAATGAAACATACATAGGCCTACGTATATACAGATACGCAATGATACATACAGACAGACAGTGATAATAATATATACAGACACACAGTGATATTTACAGACACACAGTGATATTTACACTCAGATACATAATGGTATATACCACTACACACACCATACAGACATGAAGACAGAGACAAGTCATAGACATGGTGAATATAAACTAAACTCACAAAATGGACACAACCAGTACACATTCATGCACAAACCTTGCCTCTCTACGTGAAAATACATACAATATACATACACTATATATATATATATATATATATATATATATATATGTATATATATATATATATATATATATATATATATATATATATATATATATATATATATATATATATATATATATATATATATATATACATATATTTGTATAACATATACATATATGCATGAATGTGTTTAGTGTTTATATATATATAAACATATATATATATATATATATATATATATATATATATATATATATATATATATATATATATATATATATATATATATATATATATATATATATATATATATATATATATAAAAGTAAATTTGTGTATATAAATATGTATATATATGCCGTTATATGCATATATCTGCGTTTATATGTGCATATATATATATATATATATATATATATATATCATTAAATTATAATATATACTCTCCTGAATTCCGATGGAATGAAACAACAATTTGCTAACTGATTATCAACTTGCCAACATATTCAATCCTGTCCTATGTACACAGACTATGGTGATTTCGCCCTGATCGTAAACATATAGACCTATTTAGTCTGACGTAGGCATGTGTTTGACAGGAGGGGTGGGGACAATGGGGTGTGGTGTTTCCTTGCCGATGGTCGTTGAGGGAACCACACCAGGTGTGTACATGAATATTTTGTTCGTCTGGTCCAGGGCCATTTTAATAATGGGGTAGGCTTGTTGGTAAACTGGAATTAATTGAGGGGCGAATATTGGGATTTTAATAGCTTATTTAGGAGCTGATGATTAAATTGTTTATGGACTTAGCTAACTCTAGTGCCATTAACTTTGATTGATTGTGTTTTGTGTCAAAACATAGAAGGTCGTCTAACAAGCACAATCTGTGTATCGACCTTATTTTCTGTACTGACGTTTTTAAAGTATTTTTAATTGGGCTAAATTGGTCCATTTGGGAATTGTTGATATTAAGAGTTGAATGTAGAGTAACGATTGTGTAATAAAAAAACCACATGTGTATGTGGATTTAGTGAGGTAGGGTGGCATTGACCGAGAACCCTAGCCACGCCACTGCTAGTGTGTTGATACCTGGATTCATCAAACTAAAACAATGCTTTCATTCTGGGCAGAGGCGTAGCGACCCTTCCCGGCGCCCGGGGACAAACTTTCAGTTTGGCGCCCCCCTCGAGAGCAAATTTTCAATTTGTAACCCCCCCCCCCCCCCCCCACCTAAAACTTTCGATTTGCACCCCCTCCCCTCAAACTTTCGATTTGCACCCCCCCCCCCTCAAACTGCAAAAAATGCAGCTAAAATGACATTTTTATTTGTTTTTACAACCCGGAGACATATGTCGTCCCCCCCCCCCCTGCCGCCCCTGCCCCCCCCCCATCGCTACGCCTCTTTCTGGTCTAGCCACGCCACTGCTAGTGTGTTGATTCATCAAACTAAAACAATGCTTTCATTCTGGGCTAGCCACGTCACGCAGAAACTTCGCCCCCCCCCCCCCCCCCCCCCCCGCTTCGTGTGTGCCTGACGTTTGGCTGTGGCACGCCATTGGTCACGTCTGCTTCACGTCTGCTGAATCTCTCCCTATCGTAATTGATCTAACCGAAAGTTAATTAATTTGGTTATTTAAATATTGGCTTTTTTTTTGTCGAAAGTTACAGCAGGTTTATGAAACTTGTTCTCAACTACTTTTTAAAATAAACGACTTTGTTTGAAAGTCAAGAAAATAAGTCACCGAAAATTTTTGTCAATTTTTAAAAAATGAAAATAGATTTAAAATATGTATGTAACAAACAAAATGTGACATTCAGGCAACTAAAATTACTCGCTTAGATTCAAATTTGCCGAAGGATAAAAACACAATATCTACCCAACTTTAAAGTTCAATTACAAGAAAATGCCATGCCATGTAACGTCTGTTCGTACAGAATGTCATGTGTCATGTTGATATAGAAATGTCAAGTGTCATTTGTTTATAATAAATATTTTGTCAAAATTTGTGTAAAATTATCATGTGTCATTAGCAGGAATGTCATGTATCCTTTGGTGGTGTAGAAATATCATGTTTGTATGGAAATGTCATGTCATAAATATGTGTTGTAATGTCATCTGCTAAGATATTAAGATAACAAGTCAAGCTGAATGGGCTAAGGTATAAAGTCTTGAGCTTAAATATCAGCTTGTGTATCAGGAGTTAAGATATCAAGTATAGAGCTAAGATATCAAGTCATGTGAGCTAAGTTGAGTATCATGAACTTGGATACCTAGTTGTTCATTATGAGAAGATAAAAGTAGAGTATCATAAGCTTAGATACCAAGAAGTTCATTATGAAAAGATAAAAGTCGAATATCATAAGCTTAGATACCAAGTTGTTCATTATGAGAAGAAAAAAGTCGAATATCATAAGCTTAGATACAAAGTTGTTCATTATGAGAAGATAAAAGTCGAGTATCATGAACTTAGATACCAAGTAGTTCATTATGAGAAGATAAAAGTAGATTATCATGAGATACGAAGTGAAAATCTGATCTCACGAGGACTTGGCCTGGGTCAACTGACCTATGTGAACCAAACAGCCTGATCAAACAACACACAACAAACACGGCTGGCTGGCGTGTAACGCTACACTTATCAAACAAGACACGGTGGCTAGACTAGGGGAGGGAATCGTGTAACAGAATAAGGGAAGTAAGCGGGAAAGTTGAAAATTTATAAGAAAATTGTTTGTTCGTTTGAATATTTTACTGCAATCTGAAAGCTTCTAAATATTATACAAAAACAAAATCTAATCAATACAAGTACGTATAAGTTTATAAAAAAAAAGTATGCTGAGTATTATTTTTTTTTAAATTTATAAAATCAAACAATCCGCTCTTCGTCGTTTACAAACAAATATTTAAATGACTTCAAACACTTTACGACTACTCTATTGGCTCGCTATCTTTTAGTTCCACAAATCTTTCAATAAATTTATAGTAAAAAAAAAAAAAAAAAAAAAAAAATTGCAATAAATTTATAGTAAGAAATTCTACTGTAGTAAAAATCAGGGGCCAGGAATTAAAAACATTTTTGTGTTGTCAATACTTAGTTAAACTTTTGTTATTTATGCTTCTCTTTAAAAAAAAAATGACACTTGCCGCAGTTCAGCACTATGGCATTTGTTTGATTAAAAGGATTCTTTCTCTTTTTTTATTAATGATAATTATTTACAATGTTTTCGAGAAATTAAATTAAATAATTTAAATTAAATGGTATTTTAATTAAATTAAATAATATTAATGAATACATGTCATATTGATGATGCAATGAAAATATTTGGTTAAGTTCCTTCATTTGCAACTATATCGAATGCTTTAAAAGGTAGCCTATATGGCGACAAACAGCGAACAAATAGTAATAATAATTATTTTTTTTAATTTAAATAGTAAACTAATTATTGATCTGGATGAATTTGACAATAAAAATTAATTCAATGTGTAGATCTACACTTATCTATATAAAGAGATCGATTATCTCCCCTAATATAGTTCGCATGTCTTAATATTCTTTTTTGTCAAATTGGTTTTTTCACTAGGACTACAACACAGATTGTGTTGCGTTTCTTGTTTTATGTGATAAATTGTTTTGTGTTGTCGGCCTACATAGTGTTTTGTTCTTTTACTTTCTACTTAGTAAAGTTTGACAGTACTTTTCACCTTAGTGAAGCTATCTTATACAGCTAGTGTATATATTATATATATTTCTCGACTTGCCACTCCCCCTAACTCGAAAACATGTATACGGCTCTGATGGCGACAACATGATGAATTTTGTATTTTTGTTAAAATAAAGGTATATAACCGTACATGTCGGTATTTTCGTGTTCATTTATTGGTTGTTTCCCTTTGACTATTTCACTAGTGTTATTAATTTATTGCTTGTCTCCCTTCTATTGTTCTCCGGTAATCTTATTGATGCACAATGTGGGTTGTCAATTCACCACCCTATCTGACCGTCTTACTCACCTTCCATTTGACCGTCCATCTGACCGTCCATTAGACCGCCCATTTGACCTTCCATCTGATCCATTCGTTTGAACATCCATCGAATTGTTCGTCCATTTTACGGTCCATCTGGCCGTACATCACACCGTTAATTTATTTTCTTTTTTGACCGTCCATCTGACCGTCCATCTGACCGTCCATCTGACCTTCCATCTGACCGTCCATCCGACCTTCCATCTAACCACCATCTGACCGTCCAACTGACCGTCCATCTAACCGCCATCTGACCGTCCATCTGACATTCCATCTAACCACCATCTGACCGTCCATCTGACCGTCCATCTGACCGTCCATCTGACCGTCTATCTGACTGTCCATCTGACCGTCCATCTAACCGTCCATTTGACCGTCTGACGGTCCATCTGACCTTCCATTTGACCGTCCATCCGACCTTCCATTTAACCACTATCTGACCGTCTATCTGACCGTCCATCTGACCGTCCATCTAACCGTCCATTTGACCGTCTGACCGTCCATCTGACCTTCCATTTGACCGTCTATCTGACCGTCCATCTGACAGTCCATCTGACCGTCCATCTGACCGTCCATCTGACAGTCCATCTGACCGTCCATCTGACCGTCCATCTGACCGTCCATCTGACAGTCCATCTGACCGTCCATCTGACCGTCCATCTGACAGTCCATCTGACCGTCCATCTGACCGTCCATCTGACCGTCCATCTGACCGTCCATCTGACCGTCCATCTGACCGTCCATCTGACAGTACATCTGACCGTCCATCTAACCGTCCATCTGACCGTCCATCTGACCGTCCATCTAACCGTCCATCTGACCGTCCATCTGACCGTCCATCTAACCGTCCATCTGACCGTCCATCTGACCTGTTTTAATCCGTTCACCCTTCCCTCGCTCACAGAAATGTTGAGCTATCATCTGTTGTGCAACCATTCAACCAAACAACCAATCAATCAACCAATCAACCAATCAACCAATCAACCAATCAACCAATCAACCAATCAACAAATCAATCAATCAATCAATCAATCAACCAATCAACCAATCAACCAATCAATCACCCAATCAACCAATCAACCAATCAATCAACCAATCAACCAATCAACAATTAAACCAATCAATCAATCTATCCGTTTTACTTATCCATCTTGTTACATCATTGTTTAATCATTCCCTAAATCTTTTGTCAATTTAAAAATTGTGAACATTTCAACTTACACAAAGAAACAACAATTCCAGCAATCCGTGGCCAACATTATCTCATTTCATCTCACACAACACTTACATTCCCAGCTAAATGTTCATCTCACACAACACTTACATTCCCAGCTAAATGTTCATCTCACACAACACTTACATTCCCAGCAAAATGTTCATCTCACACAACACTTACATTCCCAGCAAAATGTTCATCTCACACAACACTTACATTCCCAGCTAAATGTTCATCTCACACAACACTTACATTCCCAGCAAAATGTTCATCTCACACAACACTTACATTCCCAGCAAAATGTTCATCTCACACAACACTTACATTCCCAGCTAAATGTTCATCTCACACAACACTTACATTCCCAGCTAAATTTTCATCTCACACAACACTTACATTCCCAGCTAAATTTTCATTTCACACAACACTTACATTCCCAGCTAAATTTGAATGCATCTAAAAATAGCACCAAAAACGTAAACAACAAACAACATTCCTTGTTGAAATTTTTTTTTCTTTTTTAACGACGAAATCAATGACCAAAAAAATTACCATAAACAGGCCAATGTGAGATTCTATTGGCAACAATATGGTGATCTGTCCCCCTCGACAGCTGCTCCTATTTAAGACAGCAACTGACACACACAACAATGCTAATTCCTGCCTGCCGTCAATTCTGATTCGATAAAAATTGTATCCGGAATTAACAACAGAACGAGCCTGGGAACTTGTTGAGTTCCGGGCTAAGGGGAGTGAACTGGCGCTGATATACAGATCTCTTAAGGGGAGAGAATGCGGTCGAATAGATTATCTCGCTTTAATCCAAGTCATATGTGACGGAAATAGAAGCTATCTAGAGCGTAAATTTTGGAGTAATAACAACAGGAAATCACAGTGCTGTTTTGAAGTGTACGGAAGTACATGTTTCACGTTAGAGGGCATGAGAAATTGCGAACATGTAGGCCTACTAGTAAAATAAACACTCGGGTGCGAAGGGGTTAATCTGTAGGCTAAGTCGGCAGGGTTTTGTTATTGATAATCTTGTTCCGAGTCTAGACCATAACCCTGGCCTAGCCATAACCCTGTTAAGAATACAGAGATGAAAATATCATGCCTGGACTTGTCAATATAACAGATGCAGGATTCGCTCAACACAATGTTGTTGAGTTGCTATAAATGACGTCACCTGCTCACACATGTCGCCATGCACGTTTACGTTTTTAAAAATAGAACAGAAATTTCCTACTGACTAAAGGCGAGGTTTATCTCATCACTTGGTGGTCTGAGTTCGAATCCTGTCTGGCTCCCAGCTAAAGAACACAACATTAGATGGATCAAGTATAACCTATGAAACCTAGCCACGATTTAAACACAGAATTAGATAAATCAAGTATAACCTATGTAACCTAGCCACGATTTAAACACAACATTAGATGGATCAAGTATAACCTATGAAACCTAGCCACGATTTAAACACAGCATTAGATGGATCAAGTATAACCTATGAAACCTAGCCACGATTTAAACACAACAGTTGTTAAGTGTGGGTGTAGTCTGAAGTTGATGTGTTGGGTTTAGCAGTGTTTCTTCCAGAATTTTTTCTCCGTGAGGGTGGGGGGGAGGGGGCTTGAAATTATCGGGGGCGGGGGGCGGTAGACTTTCTTCGGGGGGGGGGGGGGCGGACACTGTTAAAAGTATATATTTTCTACATAAATTTCATTTCGTTCGGAGGGGGGGGCGGTAGACTTTCTCCGGGGGGGGGGGGGGGGGGGGCTCTGGAAGAAACTCTGGGGTTTAGGCTGAAGTTGATGTATAGCGTAGGATTCTATTATACAAGTACTGAAGCAGGCTTATCAAAGATGTGCCTTTATCGTCGATCAAGCCCTTATTTTGGTAGACTATAACGGCAATGTATTTTCCTAAATTGATAAAAAGATTAAGCAAACTTTGTTTTATGTACAAAAATGCTAATACAAAACGAAACCAAATCGAACACGCTGATTGGTTGAAATATAAATGTCAACGTTTGTTTAAAATTATTCGTCAAAGCCGCAGGAATTTCATTATTTGCATTCGTGCCAACGATCTTTCTTACCCTCTCCACCCCACCCATCGACACACACACACACACACACACAGACAAACAAACACACCCATCATTTAGGAGGATTAGATTTGAAATACCACTGTCGTACCTCGTATGATTGGGAAAACAGACTTTGTTACGTAAAAAAAGCGAATCGCTGAGTGGACGAAACAAGACACGTGACACGGTAAAGCCTGACCTAGTTTGGGGGTGTGACAATGGCGCAGTAAGACATTTCACGCAGACGTCACAGCTTGTGGCAACAGGATCTGTAGGTTGGATGGCTGCTGACGTTACTATATAAACAACTGTTGATAGCTCGGTACAGAATTATCGTGGGAACAGATTAGCTAAACACAGAACTATTGTGTGAACAGACGTGGCTAAGCACAGAACTATTGCACCAACAGACTAATTGTAAGAACTTTGCTTTCAAAAGAATTTAGTACATTTAGATGCTATTCTGAAACATAAAGAATTCAGTAGATCTAGATGCTATTTAGAAATTTAACATAACAAATTCAGTAGATCTAGATGCTATTCAGAAACTTAACGAATTCAGTAGATCTAGATGCTGTTCAGAAACTTAACGAATTCTGTAGATTTAGATGCTATTCAGAAACATAACAGCGAATTCAGTAGATCTAGATGCTATTCAGAAACATAACGATTTCAGTAGATCTAGATGCTATTCAGAAACTTAACATAAAGAATTCAGCAGATTTAGATGCTATTCGGAAATCCAACAATTATTTTTACCTTTTTAGTTCATTTTTAATGCCAAAAATTATGACATTTTTAAGAAATGCAGGCTAATTAATTAAAGCAGGTTTACATAGGCACGCTAGTTTAAATTGTACCTAACAACAACTAAGATAAATGATTATATAACAGCAATTAGCCTAAATAATTAAAGCAAGGTAAAGGTGTTAGCTAAAATAAAAGAGACAAAAAGATTGCAAGTGTTGGTAGTATGTAGTTTTAGTGCAAGTGTTGGTAGTATATAGTTTTAGTGCAAGTGTTATTGTAATTGTTAGTTTATAGAGTGTTAGTATATTAGGTTATGGATTTAGTGGAAATGTTGGTGGAGGTCGTTCTAGTTAATGTGAGAGACGGTGAGACCAAAACAAAATAACAGTTAAATGTAAGGAGATAGTATGTTGTATCTAATTAATTTAATTATTAAATGGCTCATTAAAGTTATATAAATTAATTAGGCAAAGGTGACATACCGGGTGGGTGTGACACCAAATGACCTTTTATTTTAGCATATCTCATCATTCCTCTAAACCCACGATTTTGTTTTCAACAGCCTTGACCTCACTCATCGTCTAGAGATAATCAAAGTTCAGACTACTCTTTTAGGAGCTGTCTTACATTACTCCACCTGAGTAGCTGTCTTACATTACTCCCCCTGAGCAGCTGTCTTACATTACTCCCCTTGAGTAGCTGTCTTACATTACTCCCCCTGAGCAGCTGTCTAACATTACTCCCCCTGAGTAGCTGTCTTACATTACTCCCCTTGAATATCTGCAGTCGATTACTCCCCTTGAGCCTCCAGTTACCTCCCTCAAGAAGAAATGCTGAAGTTGACCCTACAGACGACCTTGATCCTGTGTCTGACCTTGACCCTGCAGGCCTACACTGTGGATCGTGACGCAACCAATGACGTGGTTGACCCTCAGACCTTTGATGCTATCCTCGCTCAGACTGGAACTGTGGGGGAGACGCAGGTCTATGGTAAGTCTGTTCGTTATATGATGTATGTTATGTGATGTACGTTATGTGATGCATGTTATGTGATGTATGTTATGTGATGCGTGTTATGTGATGTATGTTATGTGATGTACTTTATGTGCTGTATGTTATGTGATGTATGTTATGTGATGTATGTTATGTGATGGATGTTGTGTGATGTATGTTATGTGATGTATGTTATGTGATGTACGTTATGTGGTGTATGTTGTGTGATGTATGTTGTGGGATGTGTGTTATGTGATGTACGTTATGTGGTGTATGTTGTGTGATGTATGTTGTGGGATGTGTGTTATATAATGTATGTTATGTGATGCATGTTATGTGATGTACTTTATGTGCTGTATGTTATGTGATGTATGTTATGTGATGTATGTTATGTGATGGATGTTGTGTGATGTACGTTATGTGATGTACGTTATATGATGTACGTTATGTGATGTATGTTATGTGATGTATGTTACGTGATGGATGTTATGTGATGTATGTTATGTGATGTACGTTATGTGATGTACGTTATGTGATGTATGTTATGTGATGTATGTTATGTGATGGATGTTGTGTGATGTATGTTATGTGATGTACGTTATATGATGTACGTTATGTGATGTATGTTATGTGATGTATGTTATGTGATGTATGTTGTGTGATGTACGTTATGTGCTGTATGTTGTGTGATGTATGTTGTGGGATGTGTGTTATATAATGTATGTTATGTGATGCATGTTATGTGATGTACGTTATGTGATGTATGTTGTTTGATGTTCGTTATGTGATGTTATGTGATGTTCGTTATGTGACGTATGTTGTATGATGCATGTTATGTGATGTACATTATGTGGTGTATGTTATGTGACACTTGGCACGACTAGGAGGGGGGTATATTATGGTGGCATTAGCCTCTAGCCTTGACTATAGAGTTCAGCTCTGTAATATGTGCTTGCAGTACCCAATGCGCCGCTGCTACACACGATCGAATAAAACAACTGAAGTACAAAACTGGTGGAATAAAATCTGATGATAGATACATGCTTAACGAAAATAAAACATTTTCATTTCTTTAGCGTATTTACATTATCTGATATAAATTGACTTGAATTAGTTTTTTATATTAAAATCTAAACATGGATTATAAATGAGATAAACGGTAGGAAATACTAAATGGGTCATTGCTAGCATTAGATGCGCTCTAGTTCCTTCACATCATGAGGTTATGACCTGCAAGGGGACTTAAACTTGCTCCAGTTTTGCTTGAGTTAACGTTCTTTGTCTGCTATTTTAAGTAAAGAACTATTCAAGTGTGACGGTCCATTGGGCAGGGGAATTAGAGTTCATCTGTTTCAATGATCTCGGCATATAAAGGAATAGTATAGTCAGCATTATGTCCCTAACGTGAGATAGGTACCCATTAGAGCTGGGTGAACTCAGGGACGTTCTACTGACACGAGCTCGGGGTTTAGAGATTAGCGGGTCAAAGGTCATGTGCACTGTCATACAAATTAATTCATTGGACGCAAAAACTCACATGACTTTGTTTTCTATTTTTAGAACCTCTACCAAGCGAGTGGCATTGCAAAAATAGGGAGCACATTCGGTGAGTCATTAAATTAATTGAGCAATAGAATGGTCATAATGAGTCATCAACTAAGTGAGCAATAAAATGGTCTTTATGTCAGGGACAGCTTGAGATGATAGGCTGGGCCACAGCTTGTGGTAGTGGCTGGTGGTAGTGGTTGGTGGTTGGTTTAATAACGTTTTGTGGTGGTGTCGCTATGCTTTTGATTGGGGTTGGAAGTGGGAGCTTGAGACGTCATCAGTATGGTTGGTACTGATGACTGCAGTGAGAGGTTCAAGAAAAACACAAACGCAATTTCAGCTTCTTAATTTTAATGGTTGATACTTTAGTCTTGGATAAGATGGTAATCTTGAACTTTAATTATGGCCAGCCTTAGGGGCCAACCATATCACACTTTACAAAACAAAACACGACTACATCCTAACAAAGCTAAAGTTCAACTGTCCTATCTCTCTGGACCTTACCACCCAGCCTTGGCTTAACCTCAATTACAAAAGGGCATCTCATTTCCCCAAATTTGCATCCCAGGTTAGTTGGGTCTAACTCAGGTTAAAGACCGGCGACCGGTACTTCCCTAGCCTGCACTTCACTGGGTGGGGAGTGGGGAGTGGGGCGGGGATGTCTTCACATCAGGTTACGCTGTCTCAGTTCAGGTGTGGGACGGGTGGCGGGGGAAGGGGGGGGGGGGGGGAGATAAACCACTAGCATCAACAATGGACTCAGTTATAACAGAGCTCAAGTGGGTTAGTTGTGTGATGTGTAGCTTGTTATTTAGATCTGTTTGGGTTAAGTGGTGGCAGATAGTGTAATGTGTAGGTAGGGGCTGACCTTAACGATTACTGTACGTGTTATGTATAGGGCGGGGTCGGCAACCTGCGGCTCGCGAGCCGCATGCGGCTCTTTTGATATCAAGATGCGGCTCTCCAGCTCCTTGAACAAATACTAATAATCTTACTAAAAAAATAAATATTTGAAACAAAAAAAATGTTAGTGGCTCTTTAAAACCAGGGAAATTTTGAAAATTGTAACTTTTGGCTCTTCCGCTTCAAAAGGTTGCCGACCCCTGGATAGGGTAAAGGTGTCAACGCTATGGGTAACGATAGGCTAGCGTTAGGTTTAGTTGCGTTACGATAGGCTAGCGTTAGGTTTAGTTGGGTGAGATTGTTTAACTTGCGCAAAATAGCATGGGGCCATTGGGGGCATACTATCATTGAGGCATTTTTTGGAAGGGCATTATGAGGTACTATATTTGAAGCATTTGTGGGTATAATATCGATGGGCATAAAGTGCATCGGCGCATTTTATATCATTAGAGGGCATAATATCTGAGGCATGTTATTATAGGGGCAATACCGGGCATTATATCTTAGTATCATGTCCCACTATAGATTGATCGTTGACAAGATACTATCATCAATCTATCGTAGGGCATGATACAACCATCTTTCTATCAGGCGCATTGACTGTCTTTGGTCTTGTTTGTTAATCAAACCTGGCTAGGAGAGAGAAAATATGAAGACGTTAATTAGTTAATCACACAACTGGAACTATTTTTCACCTCTTATTTCAACCAATCAGATGCCGAGATATCAGTTACTGCCCGGAGGCCCTGAGCTGTGAGTGCGAGCCTGGTTGGAGCGGGTTGTTCTGTACCGAACCCTGCAACCTGCCCTGTGTCAATGGCGTGTGTCTAGTCTACGCCGGCAGGTCCTACTGTAACTGTCAACAACCGTGGAGCGGTCAGTTCTGTCAGTACCTGTCTACAGGCAGGTGAGTGGAGCGGTCAGTTCTGTCAGTACCTGTCTACAGGCTACAGGCAGGTGAGTGTGTTGGTCAGTTCTGTCAGTACCTGTCTACAGGCAGGTGAGTGGAGCGGTCAGTTCTGTCAGAAACTGTCTACAGGCAGGTGAGTGGAGCGGTCAGTTCTGTCAGTACCTGTCTACAGGCAGGTGAGTGTAGCGGTCAGTTCTGTCAGAAACTGTCTACAGGCAGGTGAGTGGAGCGGTCAGTTCTGTCAGTACCTGTCTACAGGCAGGTGAGTGTGTTGGTCAGTTCTGTCAGTACCTGTCTACAGGCAGGTGAGTGGAGCGGTCAGTTCTGTCAGTACCTGTCTACAGGCAGGTGAGTGGAGCGGTCAGTTCTGTCAGTACCTGTCTACAGGCTACAGGCAGGTGAGTGGAGCGGTCAGTTCTGTCAGTACCTGTCTACAGGCAGGTGAGTGGAGCGGTCAGTTCTGTCAGTACCTGTCTACAGGCTACAGGCAGGTGAGTGGAGCGGTCAGTTCTGTCAGTACCTGTCTACAGGCTACAGGCAGGTGAGTGGAGCGGTCAGTTCTGTCAGAACCTGTCTACAGATAGGTGAGTGTGTTGGTCAGTTCTGTCAGAACCTGTCTACAGGCTACAGGCAGGTGAGTGGAGCGGTCAGTTCTGTCAGAACCTGTCTACAGATAGGTGAGTGTGTTGGTCAGTTCTGTCAGTACCTGTCTACAGGCAGGTGAGTGGAGCGGTCAGTTCTGTCAGTACCTGTCTACAGGCTACAGGCAGGTGAGTGGAGCGGTCAGTTCTGTCAGAACCTGTCTACAGATAGGTGAGTGTGTTGGTCAGTTCTGTCAGTACCTGTCTACAGGCAGGTGAGTGTGTTGGTCAGTTCTGTCAGTACCTGTCTACAGGCTACAGGCAGGTGAGTGGAGCGGTCAGTTCTGTCAGAACCTGTCTACAGGCTACAGGCAGGTGAGTGTGTTGGTCAGTTCTGTCAGTACCTGTCTACAGGCAGGTGAGTGTTTGTCAGTTCTGTCAGTACCTGTCTACAGGCTACAGGCAGGTGAGTGGAGCGGTCAGTTCTGTCAGTACCTGTCTACAGGCAGGTGAGTGGAGCGGTCAGTTCTGTCAGTACCTGTCTACAGGCTACAGGCAGGTGAGTGTGTTGGTCAGTTCTGTCAGTACCTGTCTACAGGCTACAGGCAGGTGAGTGGAGCGGTCAGTTCTGTCAGTACCTGTCTACAGGCTACAGGCAGGTGAGTGGAGCGGTCAGTTCTGTCAGTACCTGTCTACAGGCTACAGGCAGGTGAGTGTGTTGGTCAGTTCTGTCAGTACCTGTCTACAGGCTACAGGCAGGTGAGTGGAGCGGTCAGTTCTGTCAGTACCTGTCTACAGGCTACAGGCAGGTGAGTGTGTTGGTCAGTTCTGTCAGTACCTGTCTACAGGCTGCAGGCAGGTGAGTGGAGCGGTCAGTTCTGTCAGTACCTGTCTACAGACAGGTGAGTGTAATGGCCGGTTTGTTTTAGATGATTAAAACAGAGAATGCAACATTACCCTCCCCCGCCCCCTCCTACCACACCCGGGATAGGCATGCGTAATTGGCAACACCAGAGGAAAAAATCTATTGAGTAGCCACATAGCACTCACTCCCAGTGTTTCTTCCAGGCATACCCGAAGTGAGTCTACCGACCCCCGAACGTGTCCGCTCCCCCCCCCCCCCCCCCCCTCCCCGGACAAAAAAAGTCTGGAAGAAACACTGGTCACTCCTTATGTGTTTAGTCGAGACAATTTAGTCCCCATGTTTAAATAAATTGTCGAGCTGTATAATTTTTTCTTCTCTATAATGATCTTTTTTTTCTCTGTAATGATCATATAATTTTTGGAATATATATAAAAATGTGGGAAAGGATTCGTGATTATATCCTCGTCGCCTGATTTTGTAGCCGAACCTAAGAGAAGTCACTACAAATGTTTCAAGATGGGAAGTAATCACGATATTGTTTAAAAGTGTAGTTATATCCCAGTTACTTCCCTTGTTCTGTTTAGCCCATTCAGGATATCGTTAAAAACCTACCCCAAGGACAGAGCGGGTAGTTCGTCACATGTCATATATTAATGCCGGTAACTTGTGTTATGCCATCATCCAAATGCCGGCTAGTGTGTAGCTTGTATAGATGCGATATACGGTCGTGTTTATGCCGTACATATCGCATATTATACCCGCAACTTTGAAAGCTGAGAACATTAATTAACTAATTAATTAACTAATAAATATTTTTTATTTTTCCCTAGGTCTAATTAATCTGCAAGACCAAGACAAGAAATTCTACACACACACACACACACACACACACACACACACACACACGCACACACACACACACTCACCCATACACACCCACTCACACACACACTTTTGTATTTGCTGTAAATTTGAATCATAAAGCTATCAATAACTAAATATTTGTTTTGTTGGGTATTTTTCAAACATATTTAAACGTTTGCAAGAAGTATTAGTACTTATACTTGTATAAATATCTTTCTGTACATAACTTGTACACTTACATGCCATGCACAAATACATGAATAAACATGTACACCATACATTTACTTACATACATGTACACATACATACATTTAATATACTTAATGTATATTGGCATACATGTGTACACCTGACGTACACATGACATGACGTACATGTACACATAGAGTTGACGCTGACAATGGAGGATCTCTTGTGAACAAAACAACTAGGATCAAGGAATGCTACAACCTGCATTAAACTTGGCCACTTGGCCACTTGGCCACTTGGCCACTTACTGTCATGTAAAAACGCTAATCATCATTTTGAACCGACTGTACTGTAATAAAAAGATATTTTGATCTCAAATTTAGACTTTTTTTTAATCTTTGAGATCCGAGGTCTAATTTGATATAGGATCTACCATTACACCATTTGTAGTTTGTTTTCTTTAAAATTATGAGTATTAAAAGTGTTAAACAATAATTTAAATCCGTTAGTTACTGCCCATGCATAATTGTTTAAATTACTAAGGGAGAGAAATGTTCAAATATGTTCTAAAATACAAAGAAATGTCATCGTCACATGGGAATTTAAAAAATAGGTGATTTTTTTTTAAATATATAAAATTTTAGTTGGTTTATAGATTGTTGTTAATAGTTTACACTATTTACAGTTATGTTTTGATTATAATGTAAATATAAAACCATTAACTTTATTAAATATTAAAATAGATAATAAGTGAGAGTTCAGCTACATTACGATTGTAGTTCCAGATTCATTTTGCATATAAAATGTGTTCCATGCTAGATGTGGATTGTTCTACCGTCGTCCTATGTCCTCGATGCTGCTTGTGCGGTTTCACCGCCTGGCAGGACTCGGCTCGAAAAAAAAAAAAAAAATGTGGATTGTTCTATAATGTGTTCCATGCTAGATGTGGATTGTTCTGTAAATCTGACAATCCACTACCAGCATTTTATCACTGGTTATTCTAATGTTAAAATAGAACTTGAAACCACTGAAAACTCTCTAAACACGACCTGTGTAAGTCTGAATTATGGATTTTATTTAGAGGTAAACCTTATAACAGCCACTCTTCTAGGAGAGACAACTTCAAAATTAAACAACTGCTGCCTTGTAGTTTGTTCTTGTTTGGACAAAGGCTATGGAAGCAAATCCAAAAAGAAAAGCAGGCTGAAATCGGAGTCAATGGCCTATATGGCGCATAACAAGTTGACACGTATACTTAAGTGTCAGCAAAAAGCTTATGGTTGATAAATTCGAACAAAGTCTCGAGTTCAAATCCACTGGCTGATAAATCTCGTTCCCCTTCAACACTAATGATTAAGAATGAAGAAGAAGAAGACCCTCACTTACATGTAGACCAAAATAACAAAACTACACCCTAATTTACATGTAGACCAAAATAACAAAACTACACCCACGTAGACCAAAATAACAACATTACACCCTTACATGTAGACTAAAATAACAACATTACACCCTAACATGTAGACTAAAATAACAACATTACACCCTTACATGTAGACCAAAATAACAACATTACACCCTTACATGTAGACCAAAATAACAACATTACACCCTTACATGTAGACCAAAATAACAACATTACACCCTTACATGTAGACCAAAATAACAACATTACACCCTTACATGTAGACTAAAATAACAACATTACACCCTTACATGTAGACCAAAATAACATTACACCCTTACATGTAGACCAAAATAACAACATTACACCCTTACATGTAGACCAAAATAACAACATTACACCCTTACATGTAGACCAAAATAACAACATTACACCCTTACATGTAGACCAAAATAACAACATTACACCCTTACATGTAGACTAAAATAACAACATTACACCCTTACATGTAGACCAAAATAACAACATTACACCCTCACTTACACGTAGACCAAAATAACAACATTACACCCTTACATGTCGACCAAAATAACATTACACCCTCACTTACACGTAGACCAAAATAACAACATTACACCCTTACATGTAGACCAAAATAACAACATTACACCCTTACATGTAGACCAAAATAACAACATTACACCCTTACATGTACACCAAAATAACAACATTACACCCTTACATGTAGACCAAAATAACAACATTACACCCTTACATGTCGACCAAAATAACAACATTACACCCTTACATGTAGACCAAAATAACAACATTACACCCTTACATGTAGACCAAATACCTGCTTGATTGAGTCACCTACCTGCAAATGTCTCCGTCATTACGTGTTCGGTGCCAGTCTTGAGGGGTGGAAGCGGTGTTACAGCTGTTTGTTAAAGCTGTTTGTTAAAGCTGTTTGTTAAAGCTGTTTGTTAAAGCTGTTTGTTAAAGCTGTTTGTTAAAGCTGTTTGTTAAAGCTGTTTGTTAAAGCTGTTTGTTAAAGCTGTTTGTTGAAGCTGTTTGTTAAAGCTGTTTGTTAAAGCTGTTTGTTAAAGATGTTTGTTAAAGCTGTTTGTTAAAGCTGTTTGTTAAAGATGTTTGTTAAAGCTGTTTGTTAAAGCTGTTTGTTAAAGATGTTTGTTAAAGCTGTTTGTTAAAGCTGTTTGGTAAAGCTGTTTGTTAAAGCTGTTTGTTAAAGCTGTTTGTTAAAGCTGTTTGTTAAAGCTGTTTGTCTCTTAAGCTAAAGCTGTTTGTTGAGTTAAAGCTGTTTGTTGAGTTAAAGCTGTTTGTTGAGTTAAAGCTGTTTGCGTGGTGGGTAAAAGCTGTTTGAGCTTTAATAAAACTGTCTCGTCCTTAAAGTAGCGCGAATTGTTTTAGGTGCACGTGCAATAGTTTGAGATGATGAGTAATTGTACTGAGGTAATGGCACTGAGGTAATGGCACTGAGGTAATGGCATGAGGCAATGTGACATGAGGTAATGGCACTGAGGTAATGGCACTGAGATAATGGCACTGAGGTAATGGCACTGAGGTAATGGCATGAGGCAATGTGACATGAGGTAATGGCACTGAGGTAATGGCATGAGGCAATGTGACATGAGGTAATGGCACTGAGGTAATGGCACTGAGATAATGGCACTGAGGTAATGGCACTGAGGTAATGGCACTGAGGTAATGGCACTGAGGTAATGGCACTGAGGTAATGGCACTGAGGTAATGGCACTGAGGTAATGGTATTGAAGTCATGGCACTGAGGTAATTGCACTGAGGTAACGGCACTGAGGTAATGGCATTGAGGTAATGGCACTGAGGTAATGGCACTGAGGTAATGGCACTGAGGTAATGGCACTGAGATAATGGCACTGAGGTAATGGCACTGAGGTAATGGCACTGAGGTAATGGCACTGAGATAATGGCACTGAGGTAATGGCACTGAGGTAATGGCACTGAGGTAATGGTATTGAAGTCATGGCACTGAGGTAATTGCACTGAGGTAACGGCACTGAGGTAATGGCACTGAGGTAATGGCACTGAGGTAATGGCACTGAGGTAATGGTATTGAAGTCATGGCACTGAGGTAATTGCACTGAGGTAACGGCACTGAGGTAATGGCACTGAGGTAATGGCACGGAGGTCACTGCACTCAATGAATGACATCTGTATAATTACCTCAATTATATCATGTCTTGGCTAATCGCCTTAAATTTATATCGCTTTGGCATATTGTATTGGTTACACACGTATAACCACACGATATTATTCAAATAGGTTTTTTTTTTCACCTGGGGAAATCATGTACCAGTGATGTACCTGGACCTATTGTCTTGTGGGTTGTAGAGGGGTCGTCTCAGGCTAGGGTTGATTGGTGGTTGGGCTAACAACCCGGCTAGATGGGTGGGCTCCGTGATTACAACCCGGCTAGATGTTTGGGCTCTGGGCTAACAACCCGGCTAGATGGTTGGGCTAACAACCCGGCTAGATGGTTGAGCACTGAACTAACAACCCGGCTAGATGCTTGGTCTTTGGGCTAACAACCAGTAAAATAACACTCTCTGCAGAAACGCCAGAATACATTTTGAAAATTCTGTTCTGTAAATTCGGCGCAGGACAGTGAATGCGATTTGTATATGAACAAAAGTGTAAAATCCTTGTTAACGTAGGATTTACCATTTTAAAACGTTTTTGTTACAACTGATGTTAAGTAAAAAAAAACATAGTAAAAATGTTTAAAAAATAAATAGAATAGGATTGAAAAGTCTATGTAATCAAACTAAAATAATTTTAAAATCTTTTTAAAAATTTGGCAAGCTATAAAATTATAGTTACATTTTAAAATATTGAACTAAACAACAAAAAATGATGGTTGCTTCTGACAAATGCACTGCCCTTTTACACATAAATATTGTATTAGACCAATGGACCATAATAACGAAGGCCACCTCCCAAAATCAATAACTTTAGTGATAGTTTCTTGATAAATTCAAACATAAAGACTTTATCAATAGCATAAAAACCAAGGTTTATTCACCATATGAAAAGCTCAAAGCGTATGATATAGAGCAGGGGTCTCCAAACTTTTCACTCCGAGGGCCGCATTGACTATCAAATTTCAGTTCGGGGGCCAGTTTCTTCCAGGCATGTCGTGATTTTTCTGAGCAAAGTTCCTCAGCCATTACCAACAAACGTTTTTTTTCCGTGGACAAAAAGATCTCTGCGGGCCGGACGAGAGGACCTCGCGGGCCACATCCGGCCCGCGGGCCGTAGTTTGGAGACCCCTGATATAGAGCAATACATTGTCTTGACTTCCTAGCAATGTAACGCAAGTTAAATATAGAGCACTGCGCTCAGATAGGTTTGTACGTTATAAAGTCTATCCTTTTTTCTGTTTGTGATTTCTGTTTTTATTGTGTGTCTACGTGCAGGTGGAATGAGGAGAATGTGGCATGTGGCACCTTGCCACGTCAAATATTGTTGCTTAGGTTTTCAA